ATTTTTTACATAGTGCTATGGACGTACATGATGGAAGCATAAGGAACTTACTTAATGCTAAAATAACTTACCAGGAACTATTAAAGCATTTATAAAGTCCTTTGTAAAACCCGGTGCTCTAACATTTAGGTCTTTGAGAGCAAGAGCATTGAAGTCAAGAGATGCAAAACTCCAGAAGAACCACCAAAACCAACAGCTAATGAAATATTGTTCGAATATTTTCCAAGGTACTCTGTTCTCATTGCATACATTCAAGAAATACTTAAGAAAGCAGACTTGACTTTAGGAGATGATGAAAGTTCTGTATATCTTTCGTTCCAGTTTCAATAGCAGAACTTTTGAGACAGATATGCTTAATGTATGACAACATCTCTGATTTCACAAGATATGATGACGACCATGACCCCGAACACGGTGAAGAAGAAGTTTTACAAACATCCATTAAGACAGGAAAGGTTTTAACTCAAAGTCTCATTATTGACACCAAAGATGGCGAAGTGGACGTTCTTCAAGAGCTGAAGAAAAATACTTCTTCGGGAGGTGGTGGTAGGCATGAACTTGAAATAAATGAGATAGAAGAGAAATTAGCCGAAAAAGCAGATAAAGAACATAAACACAATATCTCCGATATAAATGAACTTCAAGCTACATTAAATAGTAAAGCAGATAAAAATGAACTTGACGCAATGAACAAAGTTTTGAAATCTCATAAACACAATATCTCCGATATAAATGAACTTCAAGCTACATTAAATAGTAAAGCAGATAAAAACCATGTTCATTATATAACTTCAGACGAACAGATTATAACGGACTACCATGGATATTTAACACGAAGTGATGAAGCGAAGACAAAAAATGTTAATGAAAGAAGATATAAATACATTCGTGCTAAAGGTTATGACATAAGCTGTACTGTACAGTATGATGTAGCTAAAGCACCAGAAGCATTTGGTTATACCGGTGAAATTTATGCCTCTACTTTCAATGTTAACGGTGTATTAGTTGAACCAAGATTTACTTTGAGAGTTAAGTCAAAAATAACGTTTGAAGATGCTATTAAAAGTAAAGCTGACAAAGTTGAACTCGAAGCAATGAACAAAGTTTTGAATCTCATAAACACAATATCTCCGATATAAATGAACTTCAAGCTACATTAAATAGTAAAGCTGACAAAATCATACACATAACTCCTTCTCAACTGTTAGAGCAGACGACATAATATTGAACTATACCTTGGTTCAAGTGCACCTTTAGAGAATCCAAGTACAAGCGTAAAAGATACACTAAACTCCTTAAATAACAAATGTATAAATATCAAAAGGTCATGTCAGAAACTTTGAAACATATGAACTACCAGCAATGTTAGATAAAAAAGCAGACAAGAACCATACATGATTTCTTCACAACTGTTGCTATAGAAAGTATTGAAGGAACGGTTGAAGGAACTGGTGGGGATGCATTATATTGTAAACCTCCTAACTTTCCACAAGGTTTAACATCGGATGACGACATAACGACGATGAGAAACATTAGATGTAAAGATGTTTATGTCATGAAGGATGAACATAATATTAAATTCACTGCTCAGATTTATATGACAAGAAAGCAGACAAAACAGAGCTTCAAACATTAAAGACTCAGATTCTTCAAACATTATATCCTATAGGCTCTATTTATACTTCAATGAACTCAACAAATCAGCAACAGTTTTAGGTTTTGGTACATGGCAGCAGATTGTAGACAAATTCTTATACTGTGCTAACTCTTCAAAGCAAACAGGAGGTTCGAAGAAAATTACTGAAGCAAACTTCCACCGCACACTCATACAGGAACTACAAACACAACAGGTAGTCATTCACATTCAATAACAAAAAGAGGTTATACAAATCTTGCAGCAGGTTCGGATAGACAGGGAATGCATAGATATGATATTTCAAGTGACCCAGTAGATTCAAGCGCAGGTATTTTCTGTGGAACCGCAGGAAATCATGCCCATACTTTCACAACAAATCCAACAGGCTTGGGTGCAGATTACATGCCACCATTTGTGACTGTATTTGCATGGTACCGCGTTCAATGAACGCGCTTGAGCCTAGAATAAAATCTTTAACTTTACATAAATGAGCTTGAAAGAAGTATTCGAACAACATCCATGGAGGTCATTTAAGAAGTTCAATGAAGCTGCAAAGAGTTGGGGATTTACTAACAGAGCTGAAGTGAAAAGGTTCTTTGACAAAAATGTTGTACATCAAACAAAAATAAACCCTTACGACTACTTTTTACCAATTTACTCCAACACTGACGCATACCAATTTGACACTCTCATTCAAAGCAGAAAAGGAGGACATAAACCATTCCTCATCTTCATTAATGTTAACACTCGTAAAGCTTTTGCGTATATAATGAAAAATAAAGGAACTCGTGAAGTGTTAAGAGTTTTACAAAAGTTTGTAGCAGAACATAACCCAAGTACTTTAACATCAGACCAAGACAGTGCATACCTCAGCAATGAAATCACAGAATTTCTCATTAAGCATAACATAACTCACTACACTACTGAAGACCATAACCATAACATACTCGGCATCATAAACCGCTTCATAAGGACGCTCAGAGATTTAAACAAGAGCGAGACTTTACCGAAGAAACAATGAAACATTTTCTCGAAGTATATAATTCCTCAACCATTCTACAACAGGACATACACCAAATTCAATGACACAACAACAAGAAGAAAAGTATATACAAAAGAAACGAAGCAAACACAAAATATCAGAAATTCAACACAATTTACCCTCATTCCTGGAACAAAAGTTCGTGTAGTTCTTGACGACAAACCGTTGACAAAGAAACGTTTAAGGTTAAGTCGAAATTATTATATCGTAGACTCTACGCAAGGTAATGGATATCTTATAAAAGCTGCTGACGACTCTATTGCGTTTTATCCTCGTCATAAATTAGTCGAAAGTAGTAATGGCAAACTTGCTGAAACCATTGACGAAGCAAAGCGAGGAGTGGTTATTGAAATACTTGACTACAACATAAACGATGACACTTATAAAGTAAGATATGAAGGAGGTGTTGAAGATGTTATACCATCTAAGAACTTGAGAGAGTCAAAGCCAACACATCTGGGACCATTAGAGCGGGAGTACTGGAAAGACAAAAATATGCCAGAAAGAATAAGAAAATTCTTCTAAACTTTTTCATTAGATGTAAATCAGACAAAATATATTTTAGGTGAAGAGGTGAGATCTCACCTGTTTTCTAACATGGTCTAAAACACACAAAACTCATGAATTTTGTGTGTTTTCAGCATTATTTTTTTGCATTATGACACGAAGTGAACTTTTGCACTTCGTCAAAAACTCATGAATTTTGTGTGTTTTCAGCATTATTTTTTTGCATTATGACACGAAGTGAACTTTTGCACTTCGTCAAAAACTCATGAATTTTGTGTGTTTTCAGCATTATTTTTTTGCATTATGACACGAAGTGAACTTTTGCACTTCGTCAAAAACTCATGAATTTTGTGTGTTTTCAGCATTATTTTTTTGCATTATGACACGAAGTGAACTTTTGCACTTCGTCAAAAACTCATGAATTCTCATGAATTTCCTTAAGATAGAAAAAATAAAAAATAATGTTTATGTTAGAATGTTAGATCTAACACGTTTTCTAACCTCATTTCTAACATGGTCTAAAACTCTCGAAAATCATGAATTTTTGACATTTCCTTATGAAAGAAAAATAACGCTAATTTTTTCTAAGAAAAATTTTTATTTTGTATGTAAAGACATATATGTCAAACATTGAGTTTGAAACAGTTAGAAAGATAGACAATGACACCAAAGTGGTTAGAATAGGTGATTTAAACGTAAGATACTCAAAGAAATACAACAAATATTCTTTGTCAGACATTATAACACCATCTGGAAAGAAAACAAACGACTGGGTTAGAAATGCTTCAACTCAGAAAATTTTGACAAGAAATCCTGAGCTTATGATATCAGTAGCATTTCATGGAACAAGAGCATATCTCATTGACAAAAGTCTTATACCAATAGTTTTGTTATGGATTGACCCAGTTGTTGGATATAACTTCATAACTTATGGTTCATTCGACTCAGAACGTTGCAGTGAAGGCTTACTTTACATCGTTCAGAAACCGAAGGACTTCAATACAAAGAGATATAAGATAGGAAGAACATATAATATAACTCAAAGATATGACTCTACAGTCAATAGAGTCAAGGTTGTGTTCGTTAATGATATGAGAGCTGCAGAAACAGAACTACTTGAAAAGTTTGAGAAAAGGTATGGTGCTCCCATGAAAGGTAAAGAAACGTTTGAAGTAGATGAGATAGATAAAGCTATAAAATTATTTGACGAAGTTGCTGAAAAATACATGTAAAGCGTTTATTTTTGGTCTTTTGTGAAAATTCATGAAATTTGGTCATTTTTCACCAAAAATAATGTTTAGGTGAAGAGGTGAGATCTCACCTGTTTTTTCACCTGTTTTTTCACCCCCGTGAATTTTCATGAATTTCCTTAAGACAGAAAAAATAAAGTTAGTTTTATTTTTATTTATTTTTTTATTTTGTATAAAAGATATGATTTCAACAATCGGCACAACAACAATTCAAACAACAACAGCACCAAACTCGTTAGTCATGAATCCTACGTCAATGTTAGTAGAGATGAAAAACTTCATTCCTTCTTCATTTACTTTCGAAACAGAAATACAAAGAATAAAGCAAGAACTTTTAACAAGTAATTTAGACTGTACCGCACAGGATGAAGAAAATGAAGAATATCTTTATGAAATGCAGGACATTATTGACCATTTACCCAAATTGCCTGAAATCCAACAGCAAAAACTAACTATTCCTGAATTCGACGAAATTGAAGTTAAAGTTACTGATTCAGTAGAAATAAAGAAGTTCATACGTAAAGTAAATTATGAATTCCTTGGTTTTCATTGCAACCATAAAGTTATGGACAAAGATTGCGACATGGTTTATAAAAACATTTCTGACATATATAAATCTGAGGAGTTTAAGACTTACGATAACTTTGTTTCATTAGTTGCAAAATGTGTTTGGGAAATAAGAGATAAAGATAGAAGAGGCAAAGTATGGAACGAACAAATAAGACCCGCTATGTTTGAGATGAAGAGAGCAATTGACGCTTTAGTTGTTTTAGCTGGTTTTATTTCAATGTATAACGCAAAAATGAACCCGCAATGTTCAAAATGTAAAGCAGGAATAAGAAAATATAACTACTCAGTCAAAGAGATAGAACGTATGCGAAACGACTATGCAGACTTAAAGAAAGAAGCAGAAAAGCCAGCAGAAGATAAAATGGACATGTTAGCATTTCTGAACAAAAACTATCCAACAGCAGAAGATTTCCTTCTGTCTGACGTCAAGAAGAAGTATAAAGAAACCTTCGGTATTGTTAAAACTTTTGACATACTGACAGAAGAAATAGAAGCTACGAAATTGTTTAGGATTTCAAATATACATCGTACAATTCATGTAAAACGCTTGTGAAAAAAGAGGTGAAAAAAGAGGTGAAAAAACAGGTGAGATCTCACCTCTTCACCTCAATTATATTTTTGGTCAAAGCTTCCACGAGAGAAAAGATTCCTCATTCGCTAAGGATTCCAAAAATGAAAAAATCATTGATTTCGGCTGAGAAAAACAGCAAAACCCTTCTTCCACGGGAACAAAGAAATAAAGAAGAAATAAAGTAAATTTTTTATTTATTCCCGTGGAAGATAGAGCACTTTTATGACACTTTTTATTCACGACAAACAAGACAAACAAAGAAAATAAGAAAATACGGCGCTGTCGCGGTTCGAACCACAGACCCTAACCCCATAACACCACCTTAGACCACTGTGCTACGTAGCCTGTCGACATAAGATTTTATAAATTGCATATTTGACGTAAATTTATTTCCATCTGGCTTCCCACCGCATAAGATATTCATACGTGTTTGTAAGACATTCATTAAACTTCTTTTCTATTGCATCTAATCTTGCGTTATTTTTTTCAATAACTTGTCTGTATTCTTCATCATCTCCAGCAGTGTTTGGGTCTTCACGTTTAAAATATTCATTGTTAACCAATTTTTTATCTACAAATTTTATTAGTGTTTGATTACTTTGTTATGATAACGGTCATATTCTTTCAATACGTAAGTGAAGACAAAATGCGTCGTACCTTCAATCTTAAAGCTTAAAGAACTTTCAACACAGTTTTGAGGGTCTGTCAGTGCGTCAATGAGATAGTATTCGAAGTCAGTCAATAATCTTTTTAAAGTCATTTCATACAGGATAAAATTTAATGTTGTGAAGAAATAGTGTTTATCTCAGAAAAAATAACGCTAATTTTATTTTTATTTATTTTTTATTTTGTATGTAAAGACAGTAATGTCAACATTAGAGAACACAACAGTTGCTATCGTTCATGAAGCCATAAATGAAGAATACGAGTACATACAATATAACAAACAACTTCGCCTCATTCGTTCGGTCAAAGATGACATGTACCAAATGCAAAGTATAATGAATGCTCTTCGTTCTACAAAGCAAGCATATCATTGGTTTGAAAACCAACAGACAAAAGAACTTTTAGAAGAATTTCCTCATATGATTGCTTCCCTCGGAAAACCGAGAGAAGAGATTCCGTACGAAAATCGCAAGAATTTGGCTCCTGGTTTGAAAGGTTATTATGTTCATAGACTTTAGTAAACCTGTAGCAATGTGGGCTTCACCTCGTTATGCTTGTTATATTTTCATGATGTTAGATGAACTATATAAAGCAGAACGTGGAGAGATGGAAAAGAAACTTCAAGCAAAAGATGAAGTCATTGAATCCAAAGACAAAAGCATACAGAAAAGAATACCGCGTTCAGTACCAAAAGGAAAGGAAAAGAGTTATAAGTATATGATATATACTGAAGAGATGGAAAATGAAGAAGATAAAGATATGGTTATGTTGCATTTAGTGAGAAGAAACAACAAGAGCTTTTATGACTTAGCTAAGATATATAAATCTGACAGAAACTGGTTCTATCGTGAAAACTTACCGATTTCAATGACACCGAATGAGCAAATAAAGGAAATTGTCAAAATACTCTTCCTCAAACACACTATGACATCAAAGGTTGCACAATACTTACATTCAAAGAAGACTTACCATTACTGAAGGAAAAAATAACAGAATATTTCGATAACTTCAAAGAGGAAGAATAAAAAATCTAAGCTAATTTTATTTTTTTTATAAAATTTTATCTCATATGAAAGAACATGAATTTAGAATATTCGGAACTCATGACAGAAGAAGAGAACGAACAACATGTAAAAGATTATGCAAAATTTCTGAAGACATACAAAGCATTTAAACAATATCTAAATGCTTCTAAAGATTATGCAAAATTTCTGAAGGTATATAAAGCTTATGAAAAAGCGTATGAAAAGTTTATACATTGGGGAATTGTTGTAAAATATCGATATGAAGACTAACCAAAAATATTTTTTGCTTAAATAGCTTCAGGGTCTATTTCTTCAACCATTTCACTTCCTTCGTCAATGTCAATAGAAGCTTCTTCAACCTTTGGTAAGAATTTCTGTATAACATTTTTGTTCGTTATTGTCTTCAGAGATGAAGGATAATATTTCACATTTGTTTCACCCTTCTTATATTCTTTCTGTTCGGAAAGATTTAAAGCAATACTGAAGAAGTCAATGTTAGAGTTCTTTATGACAGTATAATGAGTATCTTTGACATTCACGAAGAAACTCTTTTGTTTCAAAACTACTGCTAACTCTTGTGAAGTATAACGTTTGCGGTCAATGACGATAGCTAATGGTCTGACATACTGACCAACTTAGATTCTTTCACAAACTTCTTGTTAAAGATAACATTAACATTTGAAGCATTATTGAACTCATTCTTGATGGCATTAGCGAGAGCATTGTATGAAAAGAACTTGCAATCTTGCATGTGTTTCATTATAATAAAAATATTAAATTATTTTGAAAAATAACTTAAAAAATCTAATCTAATTTTTTCAAAAAATATTTTTTATTTCCTACTAAAGATGTATCGGAAGTTGTCTAAGTTAGAACACTCGGAAATAAACAACTTCTTACAGAAGCTAACATAGATGTTGCAAAGCATTACGCAACAAACAAAAAAGCACTCGCTGACATCCTCAATGACTATAATGGTGCAATAAGTTATGATAGAATTCATGAGTTCATAAAGCCGCAACGCGGCGAGGACGAAGTCCATGCAAGAGCATTTCCTTTAAATGACATTGCTATTGACTTATATCATAGACGTTCAGTACCTCATGAAGTAAGAAGAGATGTTTGACATAACAAATGCAAACGTTGGTGAAACACGAAAGAGAGACGACACACTGAAACAACAGAGAAGAGAGATGTTTAAGAGCGCTATAGAACAAGTTCGCAAAGCTAACGATGTCATTCGTTCCATTGACGACAAACCAAAAGAAGGTGAGAGATGGTTAAAGAAAGATGAAGAGAATAGGAAGAGAAATGTGAAGTCAGGCAATAGACTCATTGACTTTAACATCGAAGCTTTAGATGAACCAAACAGAGACTACTTACACAAACATTTCGGTAAGGTTTTCATGAGACTCTTAGAGAAGATTAAAATAAACTCACAACAGAGATGGATGGTATGTTATAAACTTGGTGGAAAGTATGAATGTTCTACGTTAAACCTCAATAATATTGGAACATTACTACATCAGCTCTTGAAGGAGAACTTTATATCAGAGATAGAAGCAAATGCTGCAGGTATTGTTGAAATGCACTATGACTTCTTCTTGACAAACATAAAGAATCTTACCGAAATAAAGATTATGATTTAACAGAATATGAAGGCTTAACGATGTCAGATGTAAAGAAAGGCAAACCAAAAAAGAGACCATATAGAGATGAAAGCACACTGACAAATGACCAGAAAGCCATTTTGGAAGCTCTTAAGCAAACAGGAAACCCAGCACTTATAGAAAGCTTTTGGAAAGATAATGGTGAAAAGAAGTTTTATAAGAAGAGAAGCGGTCAGTTCTGGAAGTATCTTTGCACATTACCTATAAATCTTGAGCGCTACCAAATCTTCAATGAACTGAACAAAAGAACTGCAACACTTATGACAGAAGACAATTGTTTCGTTTATGCTTGCATTCAGGCTGGAGTAAATGAAGAAACTATTGACCACATGAGAGAAGTCATTCGTGTTAGAGACTTTCCTCAAAGTAAAGTACAAGAAATTTCTGACGCAACAGGTATAGCATTTAATGTTACCATTGGTTATTTCAATGACTCAAGACATAATGAAATAAAGAGATACATACCAAAAGAATGTGAAACTGCTCGAACTATTGACTTACTTCTTGTTGAAGACCACTACATGCTAAATGAAAGACTTCCAATGACAACATACTTCATTCGAAACTATAAAGAAATTCTCAAAGCTTGTGGTGGAATGAACATTGAGAAACAGATGAAGATTTATACAAAGAGAGAAGATAAATATGTAGTTCGCATGGATAGAACTACACCGCTATGGGATGTTATGAAAACATTGTGGGAGTGCAAATATTTCGAACCTATTTCTTATGGAGAACTTTTCACATATACGACTGACTTATATAAACAGAACCTTGCACCATTTAAAGATTTGACATATGCTCCAAAGTATTGTGTACAACTGAAGAAGAAAGCAGAGTCAAAAGAAGTAAATAAAGCTAAATGTAAGTTCATTCCTGAGCACGTTTTCTTTGCTGACTTTGAGTGTAGTACGGATGGCTTTCATAAAGCTTTTAACATCTGTTACGACAGTGAAGATGGTTCAGTGAGTGAAAGCATTTGGGGTCAGAACTGTGCAACAGAATTTTTGGAGCGACTTCCTGACAAGAGTTTAATATATTTCCATAACCTCAGCTATGATATAAACTTCATCTTAAGACACATGACAGAAGTGAAAGGAACTCCCATCATTAAAGGTTCACGAACAATGCAAATAACTGGCTTATATAAAGGACGGGCAATTATTATAAAAGACTCTTACAGTGTTATAAATAAGAAGCTTAAACTATTTCCTGCTATGTTTAACTTACAAACAGGACCGAAAGAAGTATTTCCATACAACTACTACAGCAGTGTTTTGTTAGCAAATGACAACAGAACTGGTGTCATTTCTGAAGCATGTAAGTTTATCCAGGATGCAGATACATTCATGAAGAACATAGATTCCATCAAAGGTTGCAGAATAGATGAAAACCATTTCGACTTAGAAAAATATAGCACGTTTTACTGCAAACAAGATGTAAGAATTTTAAGAGAAGGTTTTGTTAAGTTCCGCAATGACATATTGAAAGAGTTTGATTTAAACGTATATGACTACGTTAGTATTTGTTCTATTGCTAACAAATTGTTTGAGAACAGAGTGTACTTCCCGAATGGAAATCTTTATGACCTCTCAAATAAACCAAGAGAATTTATTTCACGCTGTATTCAAGGTGGAAGATGTATGCTGTCAGATAACATTAAACAAAAGAGCGAAAAGAAACTCATTGCTGACTTCGACGCTGTTTCATTATATCCATCCGCTATAGCAAGATTGTATACTTTAGAAGGAATTCCAAAAGTATTGAAGGATGAGATGTTAAGCACAGAGTATCTCATGAGACATTTATTCGATGACGACCAAAAGGAACCCATTGGTGAAAAGTTTATGTCAGGCTTCTTTGTTCTCATTAAGATAACAGAGATTGGAATACATAGACACTTTCCTTTAATAGTTTGTGACCCTGACTAAATCCAGAACTTAACGTTCCCAGAAGTTCAAACACTTGCTGTTTAATGTATGTTGACCATATAACATTACAAGACCTCATAAAATATCAAGGTGTCAAATGTGAAGTGTTGCAAGGATACTATTACGATGGAAACAGAGATATTAGAATAAGAGATGAAGTAAAGAAGTTGTTTGAGTTAAGGTTAAAGTATAAGAAAGAAGGAAATCCTTTGCAAGAAAATATAAAGCTCATTCTGAACAGTATTTATGGCAAAACTATTCTATCTCCTATTGAGTCAAAAATAACCATAGTAAATGACAAAGATGCTATAAGATATGCCATCAGAAACTACAACCATATAGTGAAGTTCGAAGGTTTGGATGGTTCAGATAAAACTATTTTCAAGCTAACGAAAAGCATTTGCAGACACTTTAACTTCTGTCCACTTGGTGTTAATATTCTATCTATGTCGAAGAGAATAATGTGTGAAGTATTCTGTACTGCTGAAGATATGGGACTTCAAATATTTTACCAGGACTGTGATAGCATGCATATTTTCAATGAAGACATACCAAAGCTTGCAGCAGAGTTTAAGAAGAGATACGGTCGCGAACTTATAGGAAAGAACCTTGGTCAGTTCCATTCTGACTTCGCAGAAATAACACCTGGAAAACAAAGTTTAGCATACAAGTCAATATTTTGTGGAAAGAAGACCTACATAGACTTACTCACTAACGATTTAAATGAAGTTGCATTCCATGCACGTTGTAAAGGTGTAAAACAAGACGTTCTTGCTTTAACAGCAAATGAAATGTTTCCTGAAGCTATACAATGCTATTACAATGAAGATAAGAACATTCACATACCTGTTGGAACATATGACAAAGACTCTGAGTTCAGTTTAATGAAACTTTACAAAGCACTTTATGACGGTCAAGAGATTGGATTTGACTTATGTAAGTCTGCTACACCTGCATTTGAAGAGAAGTTTAACTTTTCTATTCAGACTAAGACTTCATTCATAAGAAAGCTTAAGTTCTGAGGTCATGAATGAGAAAAATAATGAGGTCATTTATTTTTGTCAGCAATGAGGTCATTCGTGATAAAAATAAAACTAGCGGCAAGGGCGAAGCCCATGTGGTCATTTACAATACAGCTCTTGTAGAGTTTAAGAGTTGTGCTTCAATGTAGAGACAGTCCTTATGGTCTGGAGGTAAGAACACTGGGCAGTTATGGTCATGAGTGGAGAACATGTCTATCCAAAACTCACGATTGAAGCCAGTTAATTTATAGTATTTAGGGTTAGGAAGTGGTGAAGTTCTTGTATGACCAATGAACTCATTTTCAACTCCCTTACTTAAGTTTGAATATAATATAGCTTGCTTTCTATCCCAAATGCCAGGTGTTACAATCTTTGAAAATTCATTTTTCCTCGGAAGCATTGCATCATAATTGAAAACATTCTTGAAATCTTCATTGGGTTCAGAGATTTGAAACCTTATACGTAATGGATTTTCTTTCTCTTTAGCTACTTCATTGAATGGTGAATATATAACAAACTGACAGTCATGAGTTCCATCTTCATTTTCATTAAATTCATAATGAAAGTCTATAAGTTGTGGCTGACTACCTTCTTCTTTCAGTTGTGCAAGAAACTCACGTAAAGGCTGTAAAGTTTGTACTTCAATGTTGAACTTTTTCTCGAACATCTCATTAAATGAAATCATACATTGCAACAATGTTGTATCGTCTTTAAAGTATTTGTATATGTGAATGTTTTGGGCGCTTAAAGACTGTTCGTCATTTTCTATCTCGACTTGAAGTATAAAGTCAACCTTTCTGAAAGCACGTGTTATATACATAGATGTTATGCCAATGTACTTCTCTTCATTTATGTTCACAATCCAGTCTGTTGGAAACTTAAACGTTACTCTGTTCCCCTTTATTTTGACGTCAGGGTTTTCACTACTGAACGCAACAGATAAAGGTATTTGTCTATACATTTAATTCGGATAAAAATAAACCATTTACTCTTTCTTTGCTTCAGCTTCTTTAGCTTTTGCTTCAGCTTCTTCTCTAGCTTTTTTCGCCAGTAGGTAATCAGAGTAAAGATGGTAAAATATACGTAAGAAAAAGAAAGGTTCCATTAGCGAATGCAGAAAGCGACAACATTAAGGTGCATGGCAAGGGTGAAGTCCACGAAGCCCATATAAAACCTTCTATTCAAACTGAAAAGTCAATAGAACCAGAAGAAAAGAAGCCAGATGTTCTTTCAATAACGAACCAAGAGCTTATTGCAAAGTTCGTGAATTTCATTGAAAAACAAACCGAGTCAAAGAACCCTGACCCGCCAGTGAAAGAAGTTGAGACAAAAGAGAATGTACAGTTCATTGAAAATGTCAAGAAACAACTTCCACCACGAATGCCAAGAAGAAGAGTGAGAATAATGAAGTAAATAGATATTTTTATCCGAAGTAAATACATGCAGAACGAACAGCTAAACGAATTTACTCCAGCAGAGCATATTCATCAGATTCGCTCATATTTCGATATCATAGACAATGCAGTTCAAATTGGTGACACTAATAGAAAATATTCTGACGCAAAGATTCCATCACAACCTGGAACTGCTAAAGATAACACATGGGTAACATTCAATCTCTCACCTCCTGGTGAAAATATGTTGGACCTTTACAATACATTCATTACGTATAAAATGGAAGGTCAATTTATTGTAGATAAAGAAATTGGTTCAGGTTCCAATAAAACAAACCCACCAGGATTTTGGATTGGTTTCGATGACGCTTTCTATGCAGTTGCTGGATATCAAATCCTTGCAAATGGTCGTATCGTATATTCTCAAGACAACGCAAGAGAAGAAGCATATATAACTTCAAACTCACAAACTACCGAACAAATAAAGAAAGTAGATGTTTTCTCAAAGACTCGACATGAAGATGTATGGAGTCATTCGGGAACAGGGCAGAACAGGACAAATTGTTAGGGCCGATTACAGCAGGAAAATCATTTGATTTTAAGCTTCGTTTAAGAATTCCTGTTAGAAGATTCCTTCCATTAGAAGCTATTCGATTTATTCCAGCTTTTGCAGGAAACATTCAGCTTAAAGTAAAGTTCAGTAGCGACGCCTTACAATGCACATCTATATCTGTAAATGATATCATTGCTTTCAATCCAACTCTTAAAGTTGCATTTGCTTCAGATTCAAATCCACCGACAAATAAATTTGTTCCATGGAATGAACCATTCACTATGATAACGAAGTCAGTAGAAGCTAGTGGAACAGTTACTATTACAACTGTAACCCAGCAACTATTTCGAACAAAGATGGATTTTAATGAATGTTTCATTCATCCAAAGTCATTCTCTTTAGACCCTAACATTTATACAGAACTTGTAGAACATTATACAAACGAGGCTTTATGTTTTCCTGTTAAAGTTATGGATTGGATTCCTATGGACGGTTCATTCTCAAAGAATACAGATAGTTCAAGTGCAACATTTACAGCAGCTTATACGCCTATTAATGTTAAAAGTATTTGGGCACTATTTAGAAAGAAAGACAACTATTATGTTAATTTTGAGAACCCTAAGTTTAAATATTTTCAGCTTTCCATGGGAGCTTATGGAAATATGCCTGCAGAACCTGAAAAATCATATGGACCTGTATTTTATGAAATGGTTGCGAACGCTTGCAATACAAACAATGATATGATAGGATTTAATGAAGATGTTATGAGGTCATTGGTGGATGATGGTAGTGTGGAACATAAATGGGATAGCTATGACAACACACATTTCTTATGTGGTTTTCCAACAGAAGTGGACTTTTGCTTCCAGCAAGGTCAACCATCTACTGCTCCAATAACATACAAATTGTCTGTTAAAGGACCTATTGAACTAGCAACTGAAAACGTACCAAAGCCACTTATTGGATTTATGAGGGATTGTTGCTTTGCAATACAAGTAAGACAGTCAGGCATACCAATAATAAGACTTGACGACTATAACTTAGCAACTGACGACGGTGAGGAATAAAGGATGAACGTTTATTTTTAAAGCTTATAAATGAGTTCTTCATCAAGCTCTCGTGAACCTTCACCATCTATGAAACAAACTTTACCAAACGATTATGGAGCACCTATTGAATATTTCTTACGAGCTGCACAATGGCAAAGAGCAGTCTCACCAAGGTTAGGTGTTCCACCAGCTCCTGTCAAAAATAGCATTTGGTCAAGTCCTTATATAAAATATGGTCTCCCACTAGGTTTGCTAGCTACAGCAGGAGCAGTTATGATGTTGAAAAGAAATAAAGCAAATGTTGTAAATAATACTGAAGTAGCTGAAGTTAAACAAACTCCAACACCTTCGCCAAAACCAACGCCTTCACAAACAACACCTTCAATGACTCCTGAACCTATGGAAGTACAAACTCCTGTTCAAAAGTCAACTCCTAAACCGACTCCAACATTTAAACCAGAACCTACTCCTCAAATAAATCGTAAAACTCCTGCGTTTCCTTACTGAAAAAATAACGTTATTTTTATTTAATATTAAAATTTATTTGATTGAAATGACAACTAAAGTCACTGAAGCAATGAAACAAAAGTTTTTGGTAGAATACATTAAATCAGGAACTATTCCAGAAGGTTTTTACATTCATACTATGAAGGATGGTAGAGTTCAGTTTAGAAAGATAAAGCAACCATTAGATAAAGAAGGAATTTTGAGAAAGATTAAACTTCATGAGGACAACATTGCTGAACTTAGGAAGAAGTTAGAAGAGTTGGAGAAAGGAAGAGAGTTATAAAGCAATGAATTCAAGTGGGTGAAAAAAGAGGTGAGAAAACAGGTGAGATCTCACCACTTCACCTAAATTTATTTTTGTGCTATGTTTTCATACGTGTGAGGGTGGTGATATCATTTATTTTTAAGTTCATTTTTTATTTTATTTTTATATAAATGACGAAAACTATTGAGATAACAAACTACAACGGTCATGAGTTCAAGAATTTGTTCTTCGTTCCTCGTGAAAATACATTCTATCAGATACGAGGGAGAAAGGGTAAAGTTAGTTTGAGCGTTTATGACAACAAACATAATGGGAGATATATAAAAGCAATAGATACAAATGGTAAGCGTGTTTCATTAGCTTTGTCAAAACTTACTAACATTTATTTTGACAGTGACTTTGACTCTGACGATTGGAGTGACAGCAGCGATACTGAAGAATATGAACTATTGTGTGAAGCACAGCAATGGGAAGCGCTGCAATACTTTTGTAAATGAGAACATTAGTGGGAACGTTAGTGAGAACGTTTATTTTTTCATTAGTGAAGTCGTTAGTGAAGTCATTAGTGAAGTCATTTATGTGTCAGATGGTTTTGTAAATATTTAAGGTTAAGTTGGGTAAGGTGGAACGCAGTGCCGCCGTACCCAAGTTAACCATACTAACTCACCTCCTGGTGAAAATATGTTGGACCTTTACAATACATTCATTACGTATAAAATGGAAGGTCAATTTATTGCAGATAAAGAAATTGGTTCAGGTTCCAATAAAACAAACCCACCAGGATTTTGGATTGGTTTCGATGACGCTTTCTATGCAGTTGCTGGATATCAAATCCTTGCAAATGGTCGTATCGTATATTCTCAAGACAACGCAAGAGAAGAAGCATATATAACTTCAAACTCACAAACTACCGAACAAATAAAGAAAGTAGATGTTTTCTCAAAGACTCGACATAAAGATGTATGGAGTCATTCGGGAACATGCAGAACAGGACAAATTGTTAGTGGTCCAATTACAGCAGGAAAATCATTTGATTTTAAGCTTCGTTTAAGAATTCCTGTTAGAAGATTCCTTCCATTAGAAGCTATTCGATTTATTCCAGCTTTTGCAGGAAACATTCAGCTTAAAGTAAAGTTCAGTAGCGACGCCTTACAATGCACATCTATATCTGTAAATGATATCATTGCTTTCAATCCAACTCTTAAAGTTGCATTTGCTTCAGATTCAAATCCACCGACAAATAAATTTGTTCCATGGAATGAACCATTCACTATGATAACGAAGTCAGTAGAAGCTAGTGGAACAGTTACTATTACAACTGTAACCCAGCAACTATTTCGAACAAAGATGGATTTTAATGAATGTTTCATTCATCCAAAGTCATTCTCTTTAGACCCTAACATTTATACAGAACTTGTAGAACATTATACAAACGAGGCTTTATGTTTTCCTGTTAAAGTTATGGATTGGATTCCTATGGACGGTTCATTCTCAAAGAATACAGATAGTTCAAGTGCAACATTTACAGCAGCTTATACGCCTATTAATGTTAAAAGTATTTGGGCACTATTTAGAAAGAAAGACAACTATTATGTTAATTTTGAGAACCCTAAGTTTAAATATTTTCAGCTTTCCATGGGAGCTTATGGAAATATGCCTGCAGAACCTGAAAAATCATATGGACCTGTATTTTATGAAATGGTTGCGAACGCTTGCAATACAAACAATGATATGATAGGATTTAATGAAGATGTTATGAGTCATTGGTGGATGATGGTAGTGTGGAACATAAATGGGATAGCTATGACAACACACATTTCTTATGTGGTTTTCCAACAGAAGTGGACTTTTGCTTCCAGCAAGGTCAACCATCTACTGCTCCAATAACATACAAATTGTCTGTTAAAGGACCTATTGAACTAGCAACTGAAAACGTACCAAAGCCACTTATTGGATTTATGAGGGATTGTTGCTTTGCAATACAAGTAAGACAGTCAGGCATACCAATAATAAGACTTGACGACTATAACTTAGCAACTGACGACGGTGAGGAATAAAGGATGAACGTTTATTTTTAAAGCTTATAAATGAGTTCTTCATCAAGCTCTCGTGAACCTTCACCATCTATGAAACAAACTTTACCAAACGATTATGGAGCACCTATTGAATATTTCTTACGAGCTGCACAATGGCAAAGAGCAGTCTCACCAAGGTTAGGTGTTCCACCAGCTCCTGTCAAAAATAGCATTTGGTCAAGTCCTTATATAAAATATGGTCTCCCACTAGGTTTGCTAGCTACAGCAGGAGCAGTTATGATGTTGAAAAGAAATAAAGCAAATGTTGTAAATAATACTGAAGTAGCTGAAGTTAAACAAACTCCAACACCTTCGCCAAAACCAACGCCTTCACAAACAACACCTTCAATGACTCCTGAACCTATGGAAGTACAAACTCCTGTTCAAAAGTCAACTCCTAAACCGACTCCAACATTTAAACCAGAACCTACTCCTCAAATAAATCGTAAAACTCCTGCGTTTCCTTACTGAAAAAATAACGTTATTTTTATTTAATATTAAAATTTTTATTTGATTGAAATGACAAATAAAGTCACTGAAGCAATGAAACAAAAGTTTTTGGTAGAATACATTAAATCAGGAACTATTCCAGAAGGTTTTTACATTCATACTATGAAGGATGGTAGAGTTCAGTTTAGAAAGATAAAGCAACCATTAGATAAAGAAGGAATTTTGAGAAAGATTAAACTTCATGAGGACAACATTGCTGAACTTAGGAAGAAGTTAGAAGAGTTGGAGAAAGGAAGAGAGTTATAAAGCAATGAATTCAAGTGGGTGAAAAAAGAGGTGAGAAAACAGGTGAGATCTCACCACTTCACCTAAATTTATTTTTGTGCTATGTTTTCATACGTGTGAGGGTGGTGATATCATTTATTTTTAAGTTCATTTTTTATTTTATTTTTATATAAATGACGAAAACTATTGAGATAACAAACTACAACGGTCATGAGTTCAAGAATTTGTTCTTCGTTCCTCGTGAAAATACATTCTATCAGATACGAGGGAGAAAGGGTAAAGTTAGTTTGAGCGTTTATGACAACAAACATAATGGGAGATATATAAAAGCAATAGATACAAATGGTAAGCGTGTTTCATTAGCTTTGTCAAAACTTACTAACATTTATTTTGACAGTGACTTTGACTCTGACGATTGGAGTGACAGCAGCGATACTGAAGAATATGAACTATTGTGTGAAGCACAGCAATGGGAAGCGCTGCAATACTTTTGTAAATGAGAACATTAGTGGGAACGTTAGTGAGAACGTTTATTTTTTCATTAGTGAAGTCGTTAGTGAAGTCATTAGTGAAGTCATTTATGTGTCAGATGGTTTTGTAAATATTTAAGGTTAAGTTGGGTAAGGTGGAACGCAGTGCCGCCGTACCCAAGTTAACCATACTAACTCACCTCCTGGTGAAAATATGTTGGACCTTTACAATACATTCATTACGTATAAAATGGAAGGTCAATTTATTGCAGATAAAGAAATTGGTTCAGGTTCCAATAAAACAAACCCACCAGGATTTTGGATTGGTTTCGATGACGCTTTCTATGCAGTTGCTGGATATCAAATCCTTGCAAATGGTCGTATCGTATATTCTCAAGACAACGCAAGAGAAGAAGCATATATAACTTCAAACTCACAAACTACCGAACAAATAAAGAAAGTAGATGTTTTCTCAAAGACTCGACATAAAGATGTATGGAGTCATTCGGGAACATGCAGAACAGGACAAATTGTTAGTGGTCCAATTACAGCAGGAAAATCATTTGATTTTAAGCTTCGTTTAAGAATTCCTGTTAGAAGATTCCTTCCATTAGAAGCTATTCGATTTATTCCAGCTTTTGCAGGAAACATTCAGCTTAAAGTAAAGTTCAGTAGCGACGCCTTACAATGCACATCTATATCTGTAAATGATATCATTGCTTTCAATCCAACTCTTAAAGTTGCATTTGCTTCAGATTCAAATCCACCGACAAATAAATTTGTTCCATGGAATGAACCATTCACTATGATAACGAAGTCAGTAGAAGCTAGTGGAACAGTTACTATTACAACTGTAACCCAGCAACTATTTCGAACAAAGATGGATTTTAATGAATGTTTCATTCATCCAAAGTCATTCTCTTTAGACCCTAACATTTATACAGAACTTGTAGAACATTATACAAACGAGGCTTTATGTTTTCCTGTTAAAGTTATGGATTGGATTCCTATGGACGGTTCATTCTCAAAGAATACAGATAGTTCAAGTGCAACATTTACAGCAGCTTATACGCCTATTAATGTTAAAAGTATTTGGGCACTATTTAGAAAGAAAGACAACTATTATGTTAATTTTGAGAACCCTAAGTTTAAATATTTTCAGCTTTCCATGGGAGCTTATGGAAATATGCCTGCAGAACCTGAAAAATCATATGGACCTGTATTTTATGAAATGGTTGCGAACGCTTGCAATACAAACAATGATATGATAGGATTTAATGAAGATGTTATGAGGTCATTGGTGGATGATGGTAGTGTGGAACATAAATGGGATAGCTATGACAACACACATTTCTTATGTGGTTTTCCAACAGAAGTGGACTTTTGCTTCCAGCAAGGTCAACCATCTACTGCTCCAATAACATACAAATTGTCTGTTAAAGGACCTATTGAACTAGCAACTGAAAACGTACCAAAGCCACTTATTGGATTTATGAGGGATTGTTGCTTTGCAATACAAGTAAGACAGTCAGGCATACCAATAATAAGACTTGACGACTATAACTTAGCAACTGACGACGGTGAGGAATAAAGGATGAACGTTTATTTTTAAAGCTTATAAATGAGTTCTTCATCAAGCTCTCGTGAACCTTCACCATCTATGAAACAAACTTTACCAAACGATTATGGAGCACCTATTGAATATTTCTTACGAGCTGCACAATGGCAAAGAGCAGTCTCACCAAGGTTAGGTGTTCCACCAGCTCCTGTCAAAAATAGCATTTGGTCAAGTCCTTATATAAAATATGGTCTCCCACTAGGTTTGCTAGCTACAGCAGGAGCAGTTATGATGTTGAAAAGAAATAAAGCAAATGTTGTAAATAATACTGAAGTAGCTGAAGTTAAACAAACTCCAACACCTTCGCCAAAACCAACGCCTTCACAAACAACACCTTCAATGACTCCTGAACCTATGGAAGTACAAACTCCTGTTCAAAAGTCAACTCCTAAACCGACTCCAACATTTAAACCAGAACCTACTCCTCAAATAAATCGTAAAACTCCTGCGTTTCCTTACTGAAAAAATAACGTTATTTTTATTTAATATTAAAATTTTTATTTGATTGAAATGACAAATAAAGTCACTGAAGCAATGAAACAAAAGTTTTTGGTAGAATACATTAAATCAGGAACTATTCCAGAAGGTTTTTACATTCATACTATGAAGGATGGTAGAGTTCAGTTTAGAAAGATAAAGCAACCATTAGATAAAGAAGGAATTTTGAGAAAGATTAAACTTCATGAGGACAACATTGCTGAACTTAAGAAGAAGTTAGAAGAGTTGGAGAAAGGAAGAGAGTTATAAAGCAATGAATTCAACAGGGTGAAAAAACAGGTGAGAAAACAGGTGAGATCTCACCTCTTCACCTAAATTTATTTTTGTGCTATGTTTTCATACGTGTGAGGGTGGTGATATCATTAATTTTTATATAAATGTGGGAACAAAAATAAATCATATCTACTCAACAGGAATGAGACCCTTACTGACTATGTATTCGTTTAATGCTTGATGAAAACAATGGTACATATTATCGTATGGGTATACACAGCGTCTGTTTCCATCGTCGTCGTATATGTAGAGCTCAAATCCAGTCCAACCTTCTTTTGTACAATATGTAGCTTTATTTAAGTATGCATTTATGTAGATAAGGCAATTTTCTTCATCGCTCCAGAAATAATTTTTGTTCTTTGTTGAAATAGTTTTCGTTCCTCTGCGACCATAAGGAATGTATGCAATGAACTTTGCGTCATAAGGGATTGTAATATATTCAGGGTTTCTTTCATCGTCAATGGGTCTGTCTTTGTTAAAATGCATGTTTCTCAGTTTTACTTGAGTTTTGAATAGTTCACGGAAACGTTCTGGGAAAGAGTCATAGTAAATGTAGTCGGACATGTCTTTGTAATGAAATAAAAAATTAAAAAAAATAAAAATAAGGTTATTTTTTATTTAGTGAGGACGGTAGTGAATTCGTTAGTGAAGTCGTTTATGTGTCAGATGGTTTTGTAAATATTTAAGGTTAAGTTGGTGTTATGGTTGTGTTGTAAAATATACGTTACTGGTTTCGTAAAGTGTCAAATTCACATATGATGAGTAAGAAGGCGCGCAGTGCCTCCGTACCCATCATAGGGATACTAACTTACCAGGAGTTGGAACCAGATGGTCATTCCAAGAAGCAGAAGCTCAAAACGCTTGGGGTGATGAAAGATATGAAAAACTCATACCAGGAGTTGGAACCAGATGGTCATTCCAAGAAGCAGAAGCTCAAAACGCTTGGGGTGATGAAAGATATGAAAAACTCATACCAGGAGTTGGAACCAGATGGTCATTCCAAGAAGCAGAAGCTCAAAACGCTTGGGGTGATGAAAGATATGAAAAACTCATACCAGGAGTTGGAACCAGATGGTCATTCCAAGAAGCAGAAGCTCAAAACGCTTGGGGTGATGAAAGATATGAAAAACTCATACCAGGAGTTGGAACCAGATGGTCATTCCAAGAAGCAGAAGCTCAAAACGCTTGGGGTGATGAAAGATATGAAAAACTCATACCAGGAGTTGGAACCAGATGGTCATTCCAAGAAGCAGAAGCTCAAAACGCTTGGGGTGATGAAAGATATGAAAAACTCATACCAGGAGTTGGAACCAGATGGTCATTCCAAGAAGAAGAAGCTCAAATGTAAATGAGCTTGATTTAAGGGTGCCCTCGTATGTACGTTTATTTGAGAGGAGGAGGATTACCCTCTCAATTTTGAGGGATTCGTTAGTTTATTTTCTCGATGAATATGCAATAAAATTTGATTTTTACCTTATCAATATACTTCATATAATATACACATGTTCATGTAAAAACTTTTTTCCAAAATCCTCAGGAATTAAGGGATTTTTGAATTTTAAGAATTTTTTTCGAATTTTTTCGAAAAAAAAATATTTTCAGAACAGCCTTAACGGCTAAGATTTAGGAACAATGTTAAGTATCAAAAAGAAAGGAGGTCTGATATAGACAACATATATCGTTGAAGGTTGAAAAAATCTCTAATATTTGAGCCCAAAATTTCAAATTTTAATTTTTTGAAAAAAGAGGCCACCCGTATGTACGTTTATTTGAGAGGAAGAGGATTATATTTTTGAAAGGGTGAAACATTATGAATATGTTAATTATATAATAATATGTATTATTATAAAAAGAAAAAATAAAGCACGTTAAAATTTTTCTTTCTTGATTTTTTACAAAATCTACTTAGAATTATGCAAAATATGACTAAATAATTATAAATTTCAAGTTAAATTTTAATTTTGATAAATAATTTAAAATTCAAAATATCAAGTTCAGTTCGACTATGTATTTAGTAATTCCTCAATAAAGTGCCAAAACCCTATTAAATATATGAACATTTTCAACATTTTAATGTTTTTATTTAAAAATTTGTTGGAATATGAGCTTCAAACAATTATTATGTAAATAAAAATAATTAAATATATGTATTTATTCGTATTACAACCGTAGTAAGTCGATTCTTCCTTTCTTCTACTGAGATTTGAATTTGATTTCGAATTGTAAAGAGATTCAAAGGGAAAATACTAGCGGATAAAAACTACCTCCATGAAAGGGTCATAATGGAGTCAAGTTGTATTTTTTGATATTTTTTGCTTTTCGAGCCTAAATAGGTAGCCAAGAAATTGCCTTAAAAATAAGGTTCTAAATTCTGAAGTTTACATGATCCTCTCGTGTGCACCCTTAATTTTTTATCAAGAAATTTCTAAAATTTCATCAAAAACAAAATAATGTTTCTTAATATTAGATATATCCCTATTTTCAAATCACAAACAATCTAAGCTTAGATTATTTTCATTTCAACAAATTAAATACTATCGGAGTTCTTTTCTCCACTATATTTCGCGTATTTACGTTTATGAACTCTTTGTGTGAACATATAAATAATAGTTTCGAGTTACCAATTTCAAGTAAACTGTTCAAAAAGAGGTAATATTCATATTGAGAAATGTTATCTTTTTTTAACTGAGCAAATATATGTTATGAATATTGGTAGCAAACTACGTTTAGAATAGAAAAAGAATATATATTCATCGGCGATTTAGTTACACAACTTATACAATTTCATTCCCCCCACATGTTTCACAGCTTACTCAGTATTCTTCATTACATCACATATTGATAGAATATGAAAAATATTTACTAAAAAAGTCGTTCCAAGGCTTTTAATGACTTATATATATGGACACAGTTTATCTTGACGCAAGAATTAGATGCAAACGAGCAAGAGACATGTGATGCAGAAAAGAAATGTGCAAACTAAGATCTTAAAACAATAATAAGTACTTAAGGCTTCACTTACGCCCATCTGACTTTTATTCAAATTTTTGACAACTGGCGTGAAACATCATTGAAAATTAACCTTAAATATCTGAATTGAAGGCTATGTCATAGGGGTGTAACCCGAATTGAAGGTTAAGTGCACCCTTAAAAAATTGGACTTCATAAAAATGCAATTTTAAATTTGTTGCGACTGTTAGTTATGTTTTCATAAAAATCTTTTGAAAAACGTATGAATTTTCATATCACAAGTCATTGAATGTCAACAAATCGTCGTCTAAGACAATATTACGGACTAGAAACATCAGAAACAAACAATGAAACAGATATTGATTCTCCCAACTTCAATTCTGATAAATATTTTGCCGAAAATACGAAAAATGAATCAATTCACAACATTATCGCAACTCAAAATCAAATCATCTCCGAGATTCGTACATATGAAAACGAGCTTCAAACTATTGTTTATGGCAACTATCAGAAGTTTTTACATGCAAATGATGCAGTTAGTGAATTTAAAGAACAAATTGTAGATTTACGTGCACAAGTTGATCACCTCAAGGAGCATTTTACGGAAATGCAAAAGAAAAACAATGAAATTGAAACCAAATACGGTAAAACGAAAGAAGAAGTTGTTAGTTTAACCGGCATTTCTAGACTTCTCGAAAGAGTTAAGTTCATAATGAATCTACCCAAAGAACTTAAAAACTGTTTAAAAACAGGAAATTACAAGAAGGCTGTTAATATTTGGCTAAAAGTCGAAAAAATTCTAACAAATAACAGTAACATTCCATCATTCCAGGGTATTCATTCCACATGTACAGAAATTATGGAAAAGATAAAATCCGAAATTTCTAGCCATATGGTAAATACAGATATTTCGGTTTCTGAATCAATTGAATATGCAATTCTTCAAGTACGTCTCGGATATTCATTACAACTTATTTGTTCTTCACTTGCTTTCCATGAATACCTTATTATTGACAACAGACTCGAAGATGATTCTAAACCTGCCGGCCCAATTGAATTACTTGAACAAGTCGACCAACTTGCGATTCACAATGCAACAGAATTTGTTTCCCTATTCAAAGAAAAGCTTATTCCACTGGAAAACGAGAATTCAGAAAAAATAAGCAAGGTTTTATCAGATTTTACATCAAACACATTCGAGAGAGTTTGCAAATTCGTTAGTAGTGGCGTTAATCTTACAAATCTCTCAGTAGATGACTTCTTTCCTATACTTAAACAAGTTTGATACTTTATTAACTCCGATTGCAACTTCAAAACAGCTTTCTGATTACACACATAATGTTATTGTAAAATATATCGAGGGGGTAACAGAGAAAATCTATCAAACAACCGTAGAATTCTTAAATACAAATATTAAGTCAAATGCAGATGATTTGTCTAAATCTGTAACAGAACCGATACTAAATCTGATTTCACAGTTTGCACCATACTCAGCAAATTACGGCGAATGCGTAATGACTCTTGCAATACAAATTCAATTATCTCTTATCAAATTATTCGAAGTATTCAGGTCTACGCCTGGTGATGATGTACTTGCTCTCTCTAAGGTAGCTCAAAGGCTTTCTGAAGGTGAAATTAAGGGAATTTATTCAAGAATTTCTGATATCGAGCAAGGTATTCCATCTTTATCAGATGAATTAACTGTTGCAGCCAAAAGAACATCTGAGCAATGTCTTCTTGCTTTTATCACAGCTGCAAGGCAACAAATTGACTTGCAGCTCATTAAAGACATGTCGGATTACAATTCCTACCCGGAGGAAGAACCGATCTCCCCATCTCAGGCAGCCATCAACCTAATGACTACTCTCAAAGATTACAGCCAGAGAGTTGCAGCTCTTTTCAATCCTGCCGATTATGCTGGCACTTCTTCTCCAAGAAAAACTGTTGTTTCTTCATCGAATGTAGCCACATTTAATGGTGTTCGTGATGCTAGTGATATTTCGCAGATGTTCCATCAAGCAACATTCGGCAGATTATTCCTGAATCCGAAGATTTCTATGGACCCAGCCGAAATTATCTTTTCATTGATTATTTATTCAGTGAAATCATTCCTTGAGTTTGTCAGGAACATGACATACTCAAAGTATGGTTTTCACCAAGTCCAAGTTGACTGTTTCTGCCTATCAAACATATTCCAGTTCGTCGATAAAGTTGGATTTGAACGAATCGACTCAGAACGAACTGGAATTGTCACATTTGTTCTTGAAGAAGCTGCATATTCAGCAGGAGACAGGACATATGATAGAGATCCCCTTCAGTTGACAGCTCTTCACTCTATTTGGGATGTTTATATGGAAAAGCATCAATAAAAAATTATTAATAATGAAAAAAAAACGATTATTTAAAAAAATGCACTCACAGTCGTATAACAATTGTCACAAATTTGAATAAAAGTCAGATGGGTGTAAGTGCAGCCTTAAGAGTCATTTACAGGTTTCTGAAATGCTCTCAAAAATCGGTATTCATGGGTGAAGAAGAAATCCCAATTGTCTAAGGTAAAAAAGTTAAGAGTTCACTTACATTCATATGATATGGACTTCAATTCAGATGCTTAAGGTTAATTTTGTAATTGACGCATGAAATTTTGTTCTTATAAACTTGAAACAATCGATTGAGCCGCAATAACAGCATATTTCGAGTATATTTAATGATTTTTCAACACATGGAATGAAATCAAAATTGATTGCTTTTAATGGAGAAAATTCATCTTGTCCTGTGAATGAAATAAATAGATTCACGTCTTCATCAATAATTGATTCCAATAAGCTAGTGTAATTGGATGAAATATCATTAAGAAAAGATTCTTTGAGCAGTTTTTTCTTTAGGATCAAATAAGATAGCCTATACCGATTGTTCTATTTTTCTGCATTTGAAATTATTTCCTTGAAGTGGTCCCTGAAATATTTTTTCGAGTTATACAATAATTTAATTTTAATTTCATCACAAAAAGCATTGATTTCGTCTTCATTTGTTATATGAAACATATACAACTTAGTTGTAATATCATTATAATCTTTGAAACAATCAACAAAATCGTCATAATGGAGAATATTGATTAAAATGATATTGATTGGTTTACAATAAAAGAAAATTTAGCGAATTTCCTCAGACTTTTCAGAGGATTGAGTGACAACTCAATCCTCTGAAAAGTCTGAGTAATTCTTAGTCTCTACACTATTTCAATAAAAGCTCCATTTTTAAACAGTTTTTTAAAAATCGAGCATTGAAAAGTGTGAGGAGACTTTCAAATTAAAAAAAGTCGGAATTTTTTCATTCAATTTTATCGGGGCTCAAAAGCAACAATAATGATTCTTTCACCTACAGCCGCAACAACATCATATTCACCTAATGCGTAGAAAATCGCAATATGAAAATCAATATTTTGATAATTATTATTTTATTCAATATCTTTGGGAATTATCTCTTAAAAAAGAAAGGAAAAATTGAATAGTTTTGAATACAAACAAGAAAGCGTTTATAATGTTGAATAAATGAGAAAATAATATTTCGGGATTTAACCCAACAAATTATTTAACCAAGAATCCAAATCTTCTTGCTTTTTAGCTTCTTGTTTTTCTGTTGCTGGCTTCGTATTGTTTTCTTGTAATTTTGGAGTATTGATTTCAAAGTTCAGAGGAATATCAATGATATTTTGCTGTGGCTCCTTAGCTTTAGTTTCGGTTTGGGGAGTTTCATTCTTATTATTTACTGTTGGAAAATATAAAATTTGAACTTCTTTCTTTGGCAAAGGCTGTAATTCCAAAGACATTAGTTTTTCTTGAGGAACTTGTCTTAATATACGAGTTATTTCATCAACTTGTTGACTTGTAAAATGGAAATTCTGATAATTTTCTCTTGACATTTTTGAATTTTTCTTATTTGACTAAAAGTCACTTTTTATATCCAAGTTGTCACTTTTTATATTTTTTTTCTAATTTTTTTTTATCAAAATTTATGGCATCTGATATTTCTTCAGTTACTAATGAGATGATGCATACTATTCAAGCAGCCAACAAGGCTTTTGAGTTTGTATGGTCGAGCATTGCAAATACAGCAAAAGAAATAAACGCTCCAAATGTTCTAGAATACGCTTCACGTAAAACAATTTCATATAATCCGAACAATCCAGATATATTTCAAACTGAACCTGAATTAAAGCCAGGAACTCAAATTATATGCGATATTATGACTTCGAATTTACATGAAGTCAATAGTAATGCAAATAACTCTGCAAGCTGGATGATTCTCGGTCATTGTTATTTAATGATTAGTGATTACGCTAATGCATACTCCTCTTTTTCACATGTATTAAGAATTAACAACCAAATTCAAGATCCTTATTTCTGGTACAGTTTCGGATGTGTTTATCAGCATTTCAAATACTACGATGATGCTTTAAAGTTCTTCTTGAATGCAAAAGAAATAACAAAGAACCCAGCCTTAGCTCCAGATTATCATCTCAGATTAGCTTTTATCTACAGAGCAAAAAAGATGTTCCCGAACGCATATGCAGAACTTGATGCAGTACTGAATAATCCACCACCAAATCTTAAGCCTGACGATATTGTTTTCCAAAGAGCTTTTACACTATTATTAGAAGGCCAAACTGATCTTTCTCTACAAGAATTCAAGAGACTCGTCAAAAAATATCCAAATAATCTTAAAGTTTTACAGCAATATACTTGGATTTTATCTTTCAGAGACGATAAAGCTTCTTTGAACGAATTACAAGTCGTTATCAGTAGCCATCCAGAGTTTGATAAGGATCCACTCCTCAAATTCATTCTAGCCCGAATTGAACTCAATAATTCCAACATGGAGTCCGCCTACAAGAAATACTGCGACATTATTGTCGATTGGTGCGATTCCGCCCTCTTCTGGTGCGAACTCGGAGTACTTTACTGCAAGAATGAACAATATCAAGATGCAATTGTTGCTTTTCAGAGGGCAATATACCAAAAAGCTCAAATCCCTGAGGCTTGGCTCAACTTTGGCCTCATCCTCGAGAAGCACCATGACTTAGATTCCGCAAAAAGACTCTATGAAACAGGAAAACAGACTTGTGAGAATTCCCAGAAGATCCAGGAGCGTTTGGACAAACTTATAAAGGGCCAACGCAACAATGTTAATGATGAACAGCCGGAAGAAATCAGAGATCCGAGATTTTTCCAACAAATTGGAGATATTCAAGAACTAGGTATTAATAGGACGCCGCCAAAGATACCTACATCATGCGTTACAGCTAATAAAGAATTGGCGAAACAGATAGAAACTCTATCAATGAATTACGAATCATTGTTTGAAGCATAAGTATTCATTTATTGGTGTAAATAAAGCTATATTTTATGTTTAAAAATTTTATATAAAATTAGGTTTCCTTTCTATCAAATTTATAAAATTAAAAATATTCAAATGGAAATATAGTCATTTTAAACTTAGAATGGGAATTCTCTTCCAGACCAGTAGTTATTCTTCCTTTATAATTTTGTGAAACGTTAGACCATTAGTATCTAATTTATATAAGACGTTTCATAAGTCGCTTTAAATCTACTTCTAGATTTCCAACGGAAAAAAAAGAAATTTAAGGGTGCACTTACGCCCCTATGACATGGCTTTCAATTCAGATGGTTAAGGTTGATTTTCAATTATGCTTCACGCCAGTTGTCAAAAATTTGAATTAAAGTTAGATGGGCGTAAGTGTGGCCTTAAAAGCTTATTGAGTGTCAAAATAAATTGTAAACATCACAAATTTTTATGCCTTCCAAAATTCTTTTTAATCCTTGTGCAATCGCATTAAAATCAGATGCTATTTCTATATTAAAGTTTTCATTTATTTTTAGGAAATCCGAAATTCCCTACGTTCCCAACTTCTGGAAAACGGTTTTTCACCCTTATGATCAGTTTCAGACACTTTGGGAATCTCCCAAACTTTGATATTTTGCATTATGATAGAGAAACGTGTCTAGTTTAACGCACAGTTGTTTTAAAGGCAAATGATGATATCACATGAAATTATCAAATTATCAAATTTTGAAGTACCAGTCCAAAGGGTTAATTAGATCCTACACAGATGTGCGATAGTGAAACATATGTGTTCTTGATTTGAGAAGTCCTACTGATAGAGGTATGAATCTCACAGCTTTGTGTGAGTGTGTCTGACACTTGTATAGAGTGGAATATGCGCCGACATATATTATATAATAACATGTAGTTGATAATTATGAAAAAATAGAATTTGATGCGAATGATATTGAAAGTTGTTTTGTAATTTGATATTTTTCTTATATGTGTTAATTAGTAAATGGCTTGTTTGTTGTGATCGTACTGTGAAAAATGAAAGGTATTTTAAATTAAAAAAATGAGATTTTGAGATATCTCTAGAATTAAGAATTTATTATGTATTTGACTTTTATATAACTATGTGTAAAGGATCTCGATGTGTATATGCTTTAAATAAAATTAAATAAAATGAGATAAAAAATTAAAATGGACAAGAAGATATATGGAAATGTAATTTGTATTGTATTGGTTGTTGCAAAATGATTTTAATACAGATTTAAGGATTTGGAATGGATTTGAAATTAAATGATTTTTATTCAAGGAATAATAAGATTTTGAACTGGTTTTTATTTTGAGAATGTAAACTCCTTCCATAGGATATGTATTAGAAAGATCAATTTTAAACTTTTTGAAAGAATTGTTTTTTTGTTGAGTGATTTTCTCTCATTTGATAATATTTTTAAGTTGGCGTATCTTACGCCCTTCCAAAAATATGTATTAGAAAGATCAATGTCAAACTTTTTGAAAGAATTGTTTTTTTGTTGAGTGATTTTCTCTCATTGATAATATATTTAAGTTGGCGTATCTTACGCCCTTCCAAATATTTCTTAAAAATTTAAATTTGTCTCATCTCCTACTCTTAATTTAAAAAAATTTCAAAATCCATAATAGTAAAAATTTCTTATTTTTATTTAAATCTGAAAAAAATAAATTTAAACAATTTCTCTACACATGACGGTTTCGGCGGTTTTCAGAATGGTTGACAACTGAATTCATCAGGATAATGTCGGTTGGGGTGCCCTTCTTGGCCTCCTGAGTACTCACCAAGATACCCCCAGCTCCCGCAAAACACCTCCCATAGGTGAGCATTAACTGATGAAGTTATTGACAACTTTATCTGATTTTTTTCTTTGTTTTTTTGTTAAGATTTCTTAACCAAAGACTCGAAAACAAAACTTCGCTTCAAGTTGCTGTCTTCCCAGTTACTCTGTCGCAATCTTTTGTCTGATTGCGTGCAAAGTTCTGCTCCTTTGAGACTTTGCCCGACAGATGCATCTGGGAGACAGCACCCAAGCAGCTTATCGCTTCAAGTTGCTGTCTTCCCAGTTACTCTGTCGCAATCTTTTGTCTGATTGCGTGCAAAGTTCTGCTCCATGAATTATCAAATATGTGCCATTTCAGGAGAGATAATAAGTTCATACCTCCTGGAATGGCGGATTGTTCAACAATCTTCTTCTGATTGCAGAACTTTCAACCGACAAGAAGTGCATATGCACATCTTTTAGGTTGCAATCTGTGATCCCAGGAGACATAACAAGCTCATGCCTCCTGGAATGGCGGATTGTTCAACAATCTTCTTCTGATTGCAGAACTTTCAACCGACAAGAGTGCACAATACACTCTTATCGGTCAAAGTTCCGCATTCAAGTTATGAATGGGGAACTTGATATCATTCTGGGAGACATGCAGTGACAATGTCTCCCGGAATGAGATACTGTGACCGACAAGAGTGCACAATACACTCCTGTCGGTCAAAGTTTCGCATTCAAGTTATGAATGGGGAACTTGATATCATTCTGGGAGACATGCAGTGACAATGTCTCCCGGAATGAGACACTGTGACCGACAAGAGTGCACAATACACTCTTGTCGGTCAAAGTTCCGCATTCAAGTTATGAATGGGGAACTTGATATCATTCCGGGAGACATGCAGTGACAATGTCTCCCGGAATGAGACACTGTGACCGACAAGAGTGCACAATACACTCTTGTCGGTCACAGTTCCGCATTCAAGTTATGAATGGGGAACTTGATATCATTCCGGGAGACATGCAGTGACAATGTCTCCCGGAATGAGACACTGTGACCGACAAGAGTGCACAATACACTTAATGTTTTCAAATTTTCAGATTTAAATTTAATCTTTATTTTCATCATCATTTATAGTCTTGTTCCTTTATACAGTTATAATAAATTATCGTCAGATTCTAATATTTAAGATTCTTACTACTCAATTCAATATAATTATGTTAGTCACTCATATTCAGGAGAATAATTTAAAAATCTATAGCTCATATTTTGATAGTTATATATTTAGATGATATATATTGCAATTCCGGTTTCAACACGATCAAATGCCAAACCAAGACAAAATATATATGAATTTTCAAAATATCGATTTACATTAGAATCTATATCTAATTTTATCAATACACAAGTAGTGAATGTTCAATACATCTTTGAGCAACGTGAATAGCACAATTTTATAGGATTATTAGTTGATTATATAAAATATAAGCCAAATCGAATCTGCTGTATAGTACTTTAGTTTATCATTGAATGTTAAATGTGTTCATATAAATATTTGAGTCAGATATCGCATTTTCTAATTTCAAAATTTATCTCATGAAGTTAGAATTTATTTGATCATACAACATCATGTTAGTCAAACTAGAGTTCAATGGCGATTCTAAAATGGAACAAATGCTTGTTTTATCAAAATGTTAAAATATTAATCTAAAAAACTTAATATCTAACCAAACCATTCTAGAATTATTATATACAGGTATAGGCAATCTAAATGCACATGGAATTCGGAAAATTAAAAAGAATATTTATGAGATTATTAAATCTTATGTAATTCAATGAAAAGTAGATAATATGAATATCTATAGGCTATATATCAACATATGAGTTTTTGGTTTGACCAATACTATACTAATGTGATCAAATTAATCTGATTTCTTAGATTTTCATTTGAAGCATTTGCAGTAGTAGGGGTACCTTTATATATTAACATATTAAAAATTGCGCTCCGATTCGCAGTTTCTTCATGATTTTGAGATTGCATTAGATTTCGCGATGCAGAAAAAAATCACTTTAGATTCCCGTCAAACTCTAAGTATAAGCATGTCTCTATATGTAGAAACTGTCTGCGCTATTTATTTCCCGGCTCAAAAAACCACGGTGTCTGTGTGAGGAAAATACCCATTTTAGGACCCTGGGTAGGGGTCATGAAAATTTTCCAAGAGTTGGAAATATAGGGTATTTTGTAACTCACGTATTTTCAAGCTCGCATTTGAAGGATAGCATACTTGCTGGTATTTATTTGATATAAAATTCATTGCATCTCGGAAAATCAAAGTTCGCCGTAGCGAATTGTTAAAATAAATTTATTGTGAACCAAAAAATTTAATTAATGGTTTGGTTTGCAATCGTATCATGATGCATTATTTCTCGCCTGATCCTTCGGTGTATATCAAAAGAAAAATTTTTATTTGAATAGAATAAGGATAAAATCATCGATAAATAGTCATTAAACTCTTGTGTTTTTGCTTACATCAATAATGAATTCAATTTGTTATATACTGCTGAATCAAAATTGTATTTTTGAAATTATGCCGTATTCGAAATAGTTGAAAAATCTACTCTATTTTATGATAATATTTAAAGCATAGACCAGACATTTCGGTTTTTAAAGTTTGATGCTCTCTAATTTGGTTTGGCATGAAAAATTATCAAAGATAATGAGACGGAAGTTAATTTTTTTTTCTTTTTTAATTTCATTACTAGTCAAATGTGTCAGTACTTCTTTTTTGAAGAGTATTTCTTGTCTTATTAGTTTGCAAATAGTTGTGATACTTTTTACGGGCTTATAAATAAGCCCGAAAAAGTATCAAGCAACTATTAAAATATATATACTCACTTTTTAATCATCGTCCCTCCTCTCAAAAAGTGACTAATATATTTTGAATATATTTGATGAAATTTCAATTAAAAAATGCATTTTATCTGAAATTTGTAAATAAACCAATGTCTTATAAGATAGTTTTGCAATGGTGCATATGCCTATAGATTTATATGCTTACCATATAAGGGAAAAAGTGCTCACTCGCGCTCGCTATCGTAAAGTGTTCGCGTTCGCTCGCGCTCGCATTGAGGGAAACACCAGTATTCCCCATTATTCGAGAAAAAATTTAAAGATGCCATTTTATCTATAAAAGAATATTACACAAAAAAAGGAGGTGATGTCATTACAGATACTGAGTTTCCTTTCAGCGAAGTTCCCCGATAAAAGCCATTTCCTTATTGAAGAAGATAAAATTCAATTGTATTTAGACATTTTGAACACAACAAACTACTACGCCATCAAATCCTACAAGGACCTGGTCGCAACACTCTCTGAATTACATCCAAAACTTTTTTTACAATTTTTTGAATTTTTTATTCCGAAAGATACAGAAGAAGTTATACCATCAGACATCAAATACATCAACAGTATACTCGAGTTACTGCCGCAAGACGACGAAAACGTCATGGAAGACCTTTGGACATTTTTCAAGTCAAAAACAGGAACTGACATCGATTTAAGCATCAACGATGGAGTTATTTATATACTTTCCCGTGCAATACAGCTCAATATGCAGCCAATTATCATAAGATACTTGAATGACCCTGAATATCACCAAAAAAACGTTTTAGCGTCACTTTTTTCCACATTAGCCATGCATATATCTGTTGCATATTCTGTTCTTAACTCTCTTTTGTTTGTTTTACCCGATGACTTTGATTTTGAAAATTTTATTCCTTTTCCACGCGTGCAAGTCAACATTTCGACTGCTAAAAGCGATTTATGTCGGGATATATTGATTTTCTTGAGTCATCTCCTTGAAAGAGCTCCTTTTCTCGCTCATACTTTTTTTATCAAAGACGGATTAGTCTTTAATGTCATTGATTTCATGTCGTATGCACAGTTCAGCATACAAGAAGCTGCTTGCGCGTTGATGTCGAGGTTAATTCAAGTTTCTGATCCTTCATTTTTCGAAAATCTCGATCAAATGAAGATAATCAGCGATTTGATTAATGTTTTGGATGAAAACAGACAAGATCTGACTGAATTCATACTTGTTTCTATTTCTATACTGTTTTTCAGGCTGCCAATTGAGTTATTAAGAGAAAATTTGGATGTTGACATTCTTTTGTCACTTTATGATGCTGATTTATCAGAGAAATCGTTATTGATACTTAAAGACATCCTAACTGCGCTTAATCCTTAAAATTATTTTGTTTTTTTGTTATAAAAAAAATACCCAGATTTTCCTTACTTTTACCACCCCTCTAAAGCTGGGGACACCGCCTATCGTTGGGAGTAGCTATTAAATAGAACCACCAAGGGTATTTTTCGAACTGACGGTGTAGTGGAAACATCCTACATAATGATTCATTATGCCAAGGTTTGATTCTCATTTAGCCAATTTTTTTCTTTTTTGGATCATGAATTTTTTTTTGGGTCACTATAAGATTTGTTTCATGTTCTAAATCTGCTGCATATGTAATCTATTTTTATTTACCTATTTTTTAAAAATCTATTGGATTGCCAAATTTGAATATATTTAAAATCATAAAACTCCAAAAAAACTATAAATATATGTTTTATGCATAGTGCCGATACTCAAATATCAGATTACTTAGATCTAGGGTTGTTAAAAATATCAAAAATTAGCGTTTTGAAGACACCATGGTGTCTTATAATTTTCCCTTCCTTATTGGCGTGTAGAAATCAATGCGCCAATAGATTGAAGAAGAAGAATTGTTTTTCTCTTAATGAACTTTAATCCTTTTGATATAAGAATATTAAAAACATTAATATAATTTCGATTTCGGAAATTAAATTTCCAAATTTTTTGTCGATTTCGGAAATAACAGGATCCCGCATCCAACACGCAACAACAAAACACAAAACACACTTTTTGGTTCTTTCATTGTTTTAATCGTAATTTATGTAATACATGATTTGGATAAATTTTACAAAAATAGAACCTATATTATATTCTTTTCAAAGATTCTTGCAAATCATCAAAAATAATTGTATTTTAAAAAACGATCAAATTATCCTTTCATTATTTTAAACTTAAATTAGTTTTTATGATTGACTAAAGCAATCATATTTATTCATCATTAAATAAACAAAAAAATAATATTTGAGAGTTATTTCAAAAAAAAACACATTGAATTTATTAATTTGTCTCAATTTCAGTATTATAAATTTTTATAATTTCAATATTTTGAAATACACTTTTTAATATTTCAATATTTATGATATTTCAATGTATTAAGTGGTCTCAAATTGAGCTTCTCAAATATAAGTTGGCCTATTCAAATAATAAAAATTAAATAATATTTAAAATAATAAATAAAAGTGATTGAGGTCATAGCAAAACGGCTGTTTCAGTCATTAATTCTTAAAAATAAAAAGGGTAAAAACTAAATACAATGGGTAAAATTCAATAGTGTCTGTGCTATCGTTCAATTTGAAGGTGTCTTTTGAAACCGCAAGACACATTGAATTTTTGAATAGTGTATTATGGTTTGACAGACACCAATGAAAAAAATAAAATGATATTTATTTTAAATATATAAGATCCTTATATAAAATATAAATATTTTATCGTTTTATTTTCTTGTTTTAGAAATGTTTTTTATTGAAAAATCAATAAAACTAACTCCAAAATAAAATTTTTGATTTAAAGACACTATGATGACACCAGGCAAATCTTCCAAGACACCTATCGTCGGGAATCTAACAACCCTACTTAGATCCATGAATAATATCCGAATTTTTTTTCTTAAAATTAAACTTCAAAACTTCTTGCAATCTTATTCTTCATCAATTGTAAATTTTTAAAACCATTTTTTTAAAATAATTTTGCGTAAATTTTATTCTCATGTTGTTTTAATCGAAAATTGATACATTTTCAAAAAAATAATATTGACTTATGAAATTCATTTTTAAGGTGAAATAGTATTGTTTTTATTAAAGTATATGAATAATATATAAAAAATTAATGAATAATATAAGCAGATTTTTAGTTTACAAAACAAATATGAGCAATGCAATTTCAAACTTTTGCTGGCAATTTCGATATTGCTCAAGTTTGTAGTATTTGTGATACCTATAACATCGGCTTAATCAAAATTCGATTTTTCTTATGAGTTATTGAGAAAATTTGATTGCAATGAGAAGGATTTCGACGTTTTTGATAAACTAAGAGCTGAGCTTTAGGGGTTCAGTTCATTTATGGCTGTAGTTTGATGCGTAGATCTCTTTTTTATTGTAAATTCTTTCAGCATGGAGATCGAGAATGAATCTTTTGAGAACTTTATGAGTTTTTACACCCGTAAAGAGGTCCTTCGAGGAAAGATAGTCCAGACTACATGAAGATGTGGGTTAACCAAAAAAATCCGATGGTTTCCCCATATTCATGTAGATCTTCGAAAAAATGAGCACCAAAAAAGCCAAAAAAATAGGCTTTTTATTGGATTTGTACACTAGATCAATAATCTATTTAGGATCTGACACTCTTTTTAGCCAGAGATATGAGGTCCTTTCTAGGAAAACGATCTATTCATCCATAAAAAAAATGAATTATCGTTTTCCCCAGAAATTACATGGGGAGTGGTAAAAGTAAGGAAAATCTGGGTATATTTATAAAATATCTTCAAAATTGATTGTAGGAAAAGCATCAATTTCAGATAATCGTAGCCTTTCTTATAGTCAATATACATTGTAACATGGGTGATTTCACCCAGCAATAAGGGGCTCAGCTTTTGAGAGTTTTACATGGCATTTGACGACAAATGCCATGTAATTTATTCTCAGTGTATTGAATGTTTTGCGGACAAGTCATATAAAAATGTAATCGGAAATAAATGAATATTCATAATTATCATTATGTGGATTCCATAAATTTACCACTTTACAAATTTTAATGAGTCAGGGAATTGTTCTGAACTACGAATATATTGGCTCACATATCAAAGATTATATTGAAGCGGATAATCTCTTTAGCACATTCGAAGTAGAAGATATCGAATCAATCATGAAATTCGCGAATTTAACACCTGACGAGTTCAATTCTCTTCTTGCGCAATCTCATTCTGTCATTTCAGCACGTGAATTGTATGCCTGCACTCGAAATGCAAATGTTTCAATAAACAACCTACAAGATGCCGTTTCAACACTTAAATCAGTTCAAAAGTACATGAAGATGCGAGTTTTCGAAGGAATTATTGTCTTTTTAGAACAATTGCAAAAGGATCAATCCATTACAGCACATAAAATCGAAAAACTTCAAGCAGATTTAATTCGGATCCAAAAAGAAAAAGAAAACGTTGAGAAAGAGATGCAAACTCTTCACTCTCAACTCAAAGCGAAAGAAGGATACGATTTACCAAAAGAATTTCTTTCGAAAATTTCGAAACTTAAAAATTCTGAAGATTTCAATCAAATCTACAAATTCTTTGAAGAAATTTCAGAAAAAGGAAATCAAAAAATGATGCAAAAAGCATGTGAAGAAGAACTTTGGAAAAAACAAAATGATGACTTTTGTGGTACAAATGTACTTCATTATGCATCTTTAGAAGGAAATCTGAGACTTGTTAAATCTCTCATTGAATGTGGCTGTGACAAAGATTTCAACAGTAAAAATGGTGGTACAGCTCTATTCTGGGCATCAATTTATGGTTATCTTGAAATTATTCAATATCTTATCTCAGTTGGAGCTAATAAAGAAGCAAAGGGTAGTAAAGGATTTACTCCACTCATTCTTGCATCAATAGGTGGTAAACTTGACGTTGTTAAATATCTTATCTCAGTTGGAGCTAATAAAGAAGCAAAGGATAATTCTGGATCTACTCCACTCATTAAAGCATCAGCTAATGGTCAACTTGACGTTGTTAAATATCTTATCTCAGTTGGAGCTAATAAAGAAGCAAAGGATAATTCTGGAGATACTCCACTCATTTTTGCATCATGTTATGGTCATTTTGAAGTTGTTAAATATCTTATCTCAGTTGGAGCTAATAAAGAAGCAAAGAATAATGAAGGAAAAACAGCACTTGATTGTTCGAAAGGAGCAGTAAGAGAATATTTATTATCAATTGCAAGAAAATAATTTGTTGATGTATTTGGTTATTATCTCTCAATCATTGTTACAAAAGATAAAGTTAATATTTTTTCCCTATATATAATATAAGTATTTGTTTCCTTAAAACTGGAGCATACTGAGACTGTAAATTTCTTTATTTTATAGGTGGTTGAGCTGAATCATAGTTGCTCAATTTGAATCATAGCGTGCTCTCAATTTTGTTTGAATCTTTGAAATTTTTATATGTGCTATAATATTTCCTAAATTATTTTCACATCGAATTTTTTATTTTGTAAAAAAAATTGAATTGTGGTAAAAAAGAGTAGTGGCAATTGCTTTTTTTTTTGAAAAAACTTTTAGAAACTATATGAGTGGAGTAGATCCATTAAAGAAAAAAAAAAAAAAAAAAAAAAAAGGGAGTGGGGCCTCCAGGCACTTCGTGCCCTCTAGCCCCGAAGATGTTAGTATAAAATGAAGTTTATATAAAATGAGGTTTTTTTTGGGTATAGGGGGCTTCCCAGGGGCTGCGCCCCTTCTAGCCCATAAAATTTTTGAGAGTCGTTGCTGTTGACTTTTTTTGTAGAGGACTCAAAATAGTACAACTTTGTCCGGACAAGTAAGGGTCTATCGTCGCTACAGGAAAAGTTACGGGCGTTCCAAGGAAGTATACTTTGAGAAGCCTTTTCTCCATTTTAAAACAAGATAGGACGGTTATTTTACAAAACTGACAAGACTTTGACCGAGTAGTTTTCATGTTTTGTCACTTTTCTGTCACTTTTCAGGAAAAAACATTTTTATTATATATATAAAATGAATTTTACAAAACCACCGTTACCGTTCTTTGGAAATAAGAGTAGATGTAAAGATATTCTATTGAGAGAACTTAAGAAACTACCGAATGGTCTAACATTTGTAGATTTGTTCGGTGGAAGTTTCTATATATCCCATATGTGCCATACAATATTTCCTGACTCAAAGATTATATGCAATGACTTCGACAACTATATGAACCGTCTCAAACATATACCAGACACAAACAAAATATTGAGTGAGTTGAAAGAAAAGATACCTATAGGTAAGATGGAAAGTATACCATTAGATAAGAAAAATATTGTAAGAGAGGTTTTGAAAAAAGCAGAATATATTGACTGGGATAGTATATCTGCTAGACTTTTATATAGTGGTTCTATAAGAGTTCATGACATTGAAACACTTATGTCAAAAGTTTTATATCTTAACTATACAAAGGTTTTCAAAAAGAACATAGAAAAATATACTGAGGGTATAGAGTTTGTGAGATGTCATTGGACAGAGTTGTATGAAAAATATAAAGACAAGGAAAATGTTTTCTTTATAGTAGACCCACCGTTCTATAACACATGGGATTTTCAATACCAAGTAGACTGGACTTTGAGAGACTCTTTAGAAACTTTAGACGTTTTACATAACCATCCATGCTTTTACTTTACATCCGATAAAAGTGGTTTGGAAACCGTTATGAGATGGTTAGAGGACATACATGACTATGAGTTTAGATATGACAAGATAGAATATGAGAGAGGTCCTATAAACCGGAGAAAGTGTCATAACAAAGAAATTTTATTGGTAAGTAAATGTGGTTTGAAATAGGACTACTTGTTTTAGGTTTTTTCCATTGTGTCATTTACTTATTTGACATGGCAGAAAGATATAGAGAATATGAAGATGAACCAATGCCAGCAAATGTTCAGCATATGTACTCGTAAGAGATATTTTTATCTAATATTAAATGGACGCACAGAACTTAGCGAATGCACAGCAACCTGGACAACCAAACCCAGAGAATATTCCAAATGAAGTTAGAATACAAACTGCAATGGCAAACTATGGTCAAGTGCCAACAGATGTACAAATGCAAACTGCCATGTCAAATGACGCTGCGTTAGGTTTGCCACCATGGTATGCAAATATGAGATGGAAAGAGTTTTATACAAACCCTGAAGTGGGATATAAACAACTCTATGCAGATGACGCGAACACAGGAGTTGACCCGGAATATGTTTTCTACCAGAGGAGAAATAGAATGTATGAGCTCCAGTTAAAGAATGCAATGGAACTCAGAAGGAAACGTAAGAGACTAGGCGGACATTAGATTTTTACATATAGTAAAATGGGTTTCTTTGGAAGAATAGGAAACTTCTTTCGAAATGTTGGAAGAGGTATATGGAATGGAATAAAATCTGTCGGAAGAGGAATTTGGAACGGAGTCAAAAATATTGGTAAAAGAGTAGGTCAGTTTGTTGGTATTATACCTAAAGACCCTGAACCAGAAGAACAAGCTCCTGTTATACAACAGCCTGAACCTGCACCACAGTCTAGTTGGCAACCAAATCCAACACCTCAACCGTATTAAAAAATCATATTTTTACCGTTCGATAGTAGTTGTATATGAAACTAAGTTCTAAGTAAAACGCGTGGTATAATGGAATTATTCTCTTTCTTCCATCTGTAGTAAACCATACTTGAAAGTCTGAAATACTTCCACTCGGCGGTTCATATAGCTTTGTAGGTTTTTCGTAAAAGTCATTTGCCAAGCATAAGAAAGAGTTTTGTGCACCAGAAAATGAAGCATGAACTATAATAGCATCTTGGTCGAAAACATTTTCATATGTTCCATTAGGGTTTTCGACTTCATAAAAGTTCGGGTGTACTGGATATGCTGCAGGCTGATTTAACATCCTCAAAAACCTATACCATGCCAAGTTGTTATATTTTGTAGAAATATAAACGTTTTCTCCAAGGTCTTCTATTCTATCGATTTTAACAGTTGCATTTTTCCTGTCATATATAATATCGAGATGGTACTCTCCTTCGTCAATGTTAAACTGGTTTGCATATTCGAGATAGATATCGTTTATTTTTTCTTGAAAAGCTTGAAGAGTTGTTTCTAAGTTTACAAGCAAACTAACTTGTAAAAGTTTTCCCTGTTCAAATTTCTCATACGTACGTTTTTCTTTGTTATAGTATCGAACTTCAAAACCGACCGTAAATGGGAAACCATGTATGGCTTCTGAAATGAACTTCATTCTACGAAAGCCAACAGCTTTTGTGACGGATGGGTCTCTTAGCCATCTCAATGGGTAGTCAAAACGATAGCCTTCATGCTTTACGGTCTCTGTCTCAAACTTTTGACCGACATTAGTAAAAAGTTCATCTAATGGTTTAGTTGTAGCAACTCTTGAATTTTCTTTTTCTATTGAAAGCATATTTTATCTAGAATAAAAATGTCGAAAGAAACAGCGTCTATGAGAGAAATACAACACAACCGACAACTCATTATACAAGCTCTAAATAAGAACACAACAAACTTTTCAAACTATTCTAAGATATCTGAGTCATTGAAAGAAGGAAACTTAAAACTGACAATGAACCCAATGACAGATGAGTTTCTGTTTCAAGACAATAAGAACCATACTGTCTGTATAAATCCAACAAAAGGAACTTTAAACGAGAAACCTATAAAAGAACTTCTTTTGAAAGCAGATGTTGACAACAAAGCTGACAAAGAGTATGTCATTGAAAAAGTTCAAGAAGAACATGACAGAGCAGATGCAACATATGCAACAAAAGAACATACTCATCCTGAACTAGCAGACAAAACATATGTTGACAATAAAATGTCAAGTGAAGTGACAAGAGCTGAAAACGAATATTCTAAAAAGACTCATACACATACCATTGCAAATATTACAAACTTACAAGAAACCTTAAACAGGAAAAGTGACGTTGGACATACACATACCATTGCAAATATTACAAACTTAAACGTTAGCCTTGAAAAGAAAGCAGATAAAACTTATGTCAACAGTGAGTTAGAGGAGAAAGTAGATAGGGGTTGTATGGCTAGTGCGTTAGTGAAGAAGGCAGATAAGGAATATGTGGATGAAAAAGACAATGAAATTAAAGAAAGGGTTGAATTGTACCATGAACGGACAACAAAGATTTTAAAAACTAAAGCTGATACAGGATGGGTTTCAGGATGTTTAGACCTTAAAGCGGATAAGAACCATACACATACAAGTTTTACAACTTTTACAGCAGACGACATAGTATTGAACTTTGACCTTGGTTCAAGTGCACCTTCAGAGAATCCGAGTACAAGCGTAAAAGATACTCTTAACAATTTAGATAACAGTTGCAGGAACATTGAAGAGCATGCCAGAAACTTTGAAGCATATGAACTACCAACAATGTTAGATAAGAAAGCTGACAAAACAGAGCTTCAAACATTAAAGACAGAAATACTTCAAACAGTATATCCTATAGGTTCTATTTATACGTCAATGAACTCTACCAGACCAGAAGTAGTACTTGGTTTTGGAACTTGGACTCAAATAGTCGACAGGTTTTTGTATTGTGCAAACTCTTCAAAGGAAACAGGTGGAAGTAAAACGATTTCAGGTGAAAACTTACCTGCACACAGTCACTACATAGATTTAAGTACATCTCAAGCAGGTTGGCATAAGCATAGATTTTGGGATTGGTCAGCAATGACAAAAGGTAAAGGATATGATGTTAAAGACAACGTTCAGTTTGCTATAAATTGTTTCTGGGGTAACACACAGGGAGAAGGAAACCATACACATCGCGTTTCAGGGTATACGCAAACAACGGGACAAAGTAAAGACTACATGCCACCTTACATGACAGTTTACGCATGGTATAGAAATGCTTAGTCGTCATTTTCAACTTCTTTAGCATATTCGTCAGGAGTTGTCTTATATTTGTTAGGAACTGTCTTTGAAAGTATACCACCTTGAACTTTGACAAGTTTGAAACGAGGTCTGACAATAGTAGTTTTATCTTCTGCTTGCAGTCTGTACATTTTGCCATGTTTGCCTAAAACTTCATAATATTCTCTTGTATACTTTCTTCTATTTTTACGAACACGAATGTGAGTACCTGTCGGGTTCCCATTGTTGTCATAGTCAATAGTATTTTCATATGGGTCGCGTTTAGGTATTTCTATTTTTACTTTGTCACCTTTCTGAAGTTTGAAGCCCGGCATTCTTTCTTGTTTGTCTCTTTTGACTAAATTGTTAAATATATAGTCTTTCTCTAAGTCGGGGTTGTTTTTCATTTCTTCGGGGGAGTGGTTTCCCAAACCTTTTTGTTTACGGCTATTGTAAATATTTAAAACTTGTCTCATCTTTGCCATGGAGAAGTGTCTGTACTTGTCGTCATATGACATTTCATTTGCTTCACCACCTTGTGGTTGGTTTAAGTCTCTTAACATTTTTATACAACCGTCAATGACACCAAGAGCAGAATGGTTTTGGTCGACAATGAAATATTGGTTTACATTTTTTGAACGCAGATAGTTTTTAATATCGTCTGATTTGAAAGAACTTTCATAGTCAGATGTCAGTTTTGTTGGATGGTATTTGTCAACGAATATTGTCAAAGCAGTTTTCACATCTAAAATATTTTTGGACCATAATGGTATGGCTTCACAGTATCTTGTGTTTTGACCAACAAATATTAGCCAGTATGGTGGTCCATCTTCTCTATACCTCGGAATGTTTTCCAAGATATCCATAAACCAAGCATTTGGTGTTGAACTAAAGATTTTTACCATGAGTGCTTTCTTTGTCGCTTTAGAAACATACGGGTCCTTGTTTGAATTCGTCATTTTTAACCCATAAGAAATGGGTTTATTTGGCGCATTAGCAGGAGTCGCATCTAGATTTTTGCCCGCAGTGGGAACAATAGCCAGAGGTGCATTTGGAATTGGAAGGAAGATTTTGAGTACATTAGGTATACTGAAAGAGAAAGCACAACCTATTATACAAACTGTACAGAAAGGTTGGGAGGTAGCACGAGATGCAGCAAATCTTATTCCAAATCCTGAAACAAGAGGAAAAGTTCAAGGCTGGATGGACAATGTAGGAAGACAAGCAGGAAACTACTATAACAAAGCAAATGACTACTATAACCAAGCAGGCCACTATATGGACCAAGGTGAAAGATTCTTTAACAGAGGATATAACCATGCACAACAGTGGGTAAACAATAACCAACCTCAACCGCCTCAAACGTGGGGAATGTAAAATTTTTTACTGAGATGAAATGAACAATACAGCATTGAGACAAATGGGTTCAAGATGGATTTGTCGGCTTCCAGCAGTTACACCACCACGTGTTTGTCAAGTTCTTCCTATACCTCAGGAAGTTTTAGACCGACTTAAAAAACCTAAACAACCAGTTGAAAACAAACCAAACTAAAATTTTTTACTGAGATGAAATGACCGAAGAAGTTGAAACGGTAGATTTGACACCACAAACAAAAAGTTCAGAACCATTGTCAAAACCTGTCAAAGAACTTACAGATGAAGAGAAAAATTCAATAATAGAAAGTGCCAGGTCTGGAAATACAAACCCTAACTATAAAGTCACTTTTCATAGAAATGGAACGGCTAGTATCTCAAAAAAGAAACAGACTCTCACAAATAAAATATTGAAGTCTGAAGGAGCTTTCGAGACAACAGATGGAAAAGTTTACTTCACTGACCAACAGTTCATTATAGAACATCTCATTGACTTAGAGTCGAAATATTCTAAACTTTACAACAAACACAAAAAGTTGAAAGGAAAACAAAAACAAATGGCATATGATATTTATGAAGATGTTGACGACACAACTGTTCCTGCAGGTGAGGTAAAGTCAGAGGAACCGAAAAGTGACGAAAAACCAATAGAAGAAGAAAAACCAAAAACTGAAGATAAACCAAAACCAAAGTTTAGTTTGGAAACTAAACCAAGTCAACCTTCATTAGCTGGTATGGGTTGGCGTCAAAGACTTATGGCAGCAGGCGGTTATGTAAAGTAAAGAAAAAAAATATTTTTTTATTTTTATAAAAATGCCCCCATATAGAATGGATAGAAAGTCTGCTAGAATAAAAGCAGAGTTGCAAAGATATGGTTGGAGAGTTTCGAAGAAGTTTAAATATAGGAAGGGAAGACCCATAAAAGTCTATGACAAACTGGCTGGTCTTCGCTACGAAATGGATTTGGAAACAGCACGTGCCAATTATCCAAACAGACTAGAGAGGTTAGAAGAAGAACGTCTTATGGACATGCCTTTCGATGTTAGTGAACCTCAAGTTGAGGGACACGACGGCTTTGCCAGATTCTACTGGAAACATGACGAACAATTGCATCCTTTGAGAAGGAAAAAAGGAAAAGGTGAAGACACACATGCTCCCATGGAAAGAACAAGATATGCATATGAGAAGTATCGTGAAGTTAGAAGTCAAATTACTTCTGGTCGAACCTTTACAGTAAACTTTGACGAAGGAAAGAACAAAGAAGGCTTCATGGGTGTACTTGCTGCCATACAAGATGGAAATAAGAAAGGATACAATCTCAGATTGACCATAACAGATTTGGAGGGTCACATTTACTATGCACATGGCAATGTCACAACAGCTGCAATGCTTCTTGACGCTTTCAAGACTACAAAGAGAGAACAAATGGTTGACTCCGACTCAGACATTTTGAATGCAATTGAAGGAATTGCAAGTGTCAAGTTCGAATGGTACCAACCTAACCCTCAAGCAGTCAGACAACATGCTGGATACTTCCCGTTCATAAATAAGTCTGACATTGACTTGACAAGGTATGGAATTTACAATTCAATTGAAACAATTGTCAATGAACCTTGTATTCTTACATGTCTCAGGAACTCTGGTCTTGTTACAGATGAGAAAATGAAGTATCTTGAGTCATGTGTGAAGACAAGGTACATTCTCAGAGGTCAATTGGCAAAAATTGCACCGTTGGCAAATGTCAATATCCGAGTCAACATACCTACAGCTAAAGGTTCTTCACATGACGACTATGTTGTTGAGTTCAATTTACCATGGTTGAAGATTGTAATTGTCCACAACCACTTCATGTTGAACGAAAGTCTTACAAACCCATTGTTCGGAAAAGGCAAGTGCAACATTGTCAGAGCTGTAAACATTCTTTTCGAGAAAGGTTTGTTGGAACCAATTCCAGATGACAAGCTGACAGAAACTTTTGTACCAAAAGACGAAACAAACTTTTCATTGTTAGCAAGACCAAAAGTTGTTCCGGACAAAGTTATAGTACAAAAGAAGTACACAATTCCACAAGGAGTTGGATTGTTCGGATACCAACCTGAACCAGAAGAACTTCCAATGAGGTTGCAAGAACTTCAAGATGCTATAAACAAACTTCCATTGAGACATCCAATTGACGTCAAATTGTATTGGAGAGCTTCTGAGTTAGGTCAGAAGGTTTTATATGAAACAGGTTGCTTCGACGATGTTTATGAGATAACAGGAGAAGTTTCTCAGAAGATAAGAGACTCACTTGAATTTCCACAAACTGGACCAATTGGTTGCGACAAGTTCGACTCAAACGAAAAGATATACTATGTCGACCTTAACGCTGCATACATGAGGTTTGTCCAATATATTCCGACTGGAATTCCAAACGAAGATGGTGAGTTCCCGGAAGGAACTATACAGTTGGAAAAGTCATACAACAACTGTATGATATTAGGAAAGCTTCAAACCCCAAACTTGCAATGACACTCAAATTGCTTATGAATTCGACATGGGATATTCCATTAAGAAACCTCAAGAGATGAAGAGTAAACATTATGAGAAGGTCGACAACTTTGTTGAAAGGTTTTCTCCTTTTGTTTTGAAGTACGAATTCACTCAAGGTCAAATGGCTTAGTAACCACATTAAAACCTATTGTCGAACATTGGTCTTACCCTCAGTTCGCAAAGGCAGTCCTTGACAACTACAACAAATTCTTCTCCGAAGTCAAATCCAAAGTGAAGGTTTACTATGAGAACATTGACGCACTCATGACGAACGAAGAAGGATACAACAAACTCATTGAAATGGGTATGGTCGGTGAAAAGATGGGTCAATTCAAATTGGACAAAATTTTCACCGAAGTTCATGTAATATCGAAAAGGAAATATTGGGGTATACTTGAAGACGGCACAGAAATAAAACATTGCATGAAGTAAAAAATTTTTATTCGAATTTGAATTAAAATGTGGGAATTCTTGGGAACGGGAAAGGCTTATTTACTTGAGGAACAGGTAAAGGTGGTGGAGTGGAGGTGGTGGCAACCAGTCCATTTTATATTCCTTCTAGCTAATTTCCGTTTAATTTCATGGTCGCCCTCGGAGTCTTTGAATCGGACAGGTCGAGTTACACCATTCTTGGTCTCAAACTCATATATAACCTGTTTGTCTGTATTTTCGTCGACTATGGCACGAGACACGAACATTGACCAAACGGACAAAAAGTGTCATTTCGGATGGTCACGCAGCCAATCGCATCGAGCACTTCGAAGAAGCCTTACGTTCCAAGGGAGAGGGTGTCTGGTGCAAGGCAGAGGTCATGAAACTCTACGAGCAGTACATCCTCAATGCCTGGGAGGACAAATCGTCCTTGGATTGGCAATTCTACCAACTCCTCTGGGACGACCTCCTACGCAACTGGGATAACGAAAGAGCCCAATTCAAAGGTCGGGAACTAATTTTGCAAATTACCCTTAATTTAACATACTTATCCAAATAAACACTTAAATTTACTTGGGGTTTCCCCCTAAAATAAAATTTTTTTACTCTTAGAACCACTCGAGGTTCTCCTTACGGTTGTTGAGCTTGTCACCGTCAATGTGCTGACCTTCGTCTTCTTGCCTGGATTTGGAACCCATTGAAATTGCGACAAGCTTGCCCATGGAGATTGAACCGCGATTCCGAAGGTTAAGGTTCAAGTGTCCCAAGTTGTTGAGGACTGGGGTAAGAACCTTGCCTGTCTCCTTGTTGCGGATTTGGTATGGGTAGGGTTGGGAAATTTCGTAACCGTCATCGGCAACAAGGGTTGCCCATGTAGCGGCTTCAGGAACTTCTTCGTGTTTCTCTTCTTCCTCTTCTTCCTCTTCTTCCTCGACAATTCCTTCTTCAATTTGGTACTCACGAAGTACGGTGTTGCATGTTCTGTCCTTTCCGAGTACCTTCCAGATGGCGTCTATCTCTTCGAAGAAACGGTAGATGAGTCTGGCAAGGTCTCGGTTCTCTCTCCTGTAAATGCGCAAGGTTTCCGTGAAATCGTTCAGGCATTTCTCATTGGAAGCTTGGTTCATGAGGAACTCACCTTTAAGTTCCTTCATCTCTGTCATAAGACTACTTTGGAGAGTCTTAATGGTGTTTGTCAGATGAGCTTTCAAATTCAGAATTTGAATTTGAACTGGGCGCTTGTCTGGCAACCTTGAAAGGACATCTTCCATTGAGTTTGGCTTCGGTGCTTGTTCGGACATCGAAAAAATGAAGTGGTTTGAGAATGACGGTTTTACTTCAAAAAGCTTGTTATGACAGTTATGTCATACAACAAGTTTAAAATAATATCTTGCTCTTCTTCTGAACGTTTGTTGTCTCTTCCGATAAAAGTTTCGAACATGAGAACCAAAAAACGTTTTTTGAGGAACCGAAAGAGTTCAGGCAAATTTTCATATTCTGGATATGTTGGGAGCAGTTCAAAACATCTGAGCTGACTTTCGGACAAAATTGGGACAATGTCAGAAAATTCATCTTTGGTCGGACTGCTTGAAGGTAAGTCCCTTACATGTAAGTAGCTCTGGTAAAGTCTTCTCATTTCTGCTAACTTTTGGAGTATAGCTTCGTAGTTTAGAAGTTTCAATTTAATTGTCTTATTCCACTCTTGACTTCTAAACGGTAAGTATCCATGAGGTCAAGAGTAGCTTTGGTTGCCTTAAGAGGAGCTATCTGTTCCTTGACTTCTGCAATTTTGGTTGCAATTGTGGTTTGAGCTCCTTCAAGTTCGCCGTCTATGTCGTTCTCAACACCTTCAACCATAGCTTGAAACTCTTCATCGGTCCATTGAGATTGGTGTGGGACGAATTTAACTTGCTTCATTCAAAAAATGAAAAAAATGTTTTTACTCTAAACGTTAAGGTTTGAACTGAACTGGTTGGATGTCGCCTTCACAGGTTATGTAGAACGGCTGACCCGAGAAGTGAAGGAGAGACTGAATTGCCAATTTCATATGGGGTAGGGGGTTCTCCTTGTTTGGTATTTTTATCCATGGGCGCTTTGCAAAGAACTTAACAAGAGCTTCTCTTTTGGCGTCCTTTATGCCATCGTAGGCTGTCCCGTCTGGTATTTGAATTGGAATTCCAGTCGAAGTCTCGAGCTGAAGTGTAGCCCTTCCAGAAATAGTGGTGTACTTGACCTTGGGCTTCATGACCTTGCGCAAGTAGTCTTTTACGCAGTTGTTAATTTCAATTAGGTAAATTGCCTCGTCAAATCCTTCTTGCATTCCAAGTTCTTCCATCCGACAGGAAAATATTTTCCGGACAACTGGAAAATATTTTCCGGACAAAGGGAAAAATTTTCCCCGACGACAGGAAGAACTCTTCCAGTTGTCCGTCCGTAAACCATTCAAATTTTCGAAAATTGAGAACTTTTTCGTCGAACTTCAGAAAAAGTTTTTCCTTCCGACAGAAAAAGTTCTTCCTTCCGACAGAAAAAGTTCTTCCTTCCGACAGGACACAAACGGATGTCCGACAGAAAAAGTTCTTCCTTCCGACAGGACACAAACGAATGTCCGACAGAAAAAGTTCTTCCTTCCGACAGAAAAAGTTCTTCCTTCCGACAGGACACAAACGAATGTCCGACGTCCCACCAACCGAGCCGATTCCCAAACCAGAAGAACCGACAGCCCCAGCACCACAACAGTCTCCTCAGCAAGTCCCTCCACCAAATTACTACCAATTTCCACCTCAAGGTTACTACCCACCACAAGGCTTCCCGAACTACCCTCCTCCTCAGCCTATGCCTTACTTCCCCAACCCTTGGTTGTTCCAATCTCAATCTCAATCGAAGAGAGACCAAGACTTCGAAGAAGGTCTGAACCGCTTACGCAAAGAGTATGCCACAGCCCCGATGGAAGATGACAGGCTTTCAGTCTCTTCCCTCAAATCGACCGATTCGACTCGTACCACAGATTCGGTTCGTGACCGTGAAGACTACCTCAAGCAGTCTGAGAGACTCTTCATCCTACAATCATTTACAGTTGGAGCTCTCAAGAACATGCGCAATTACGAAGGTCAGACACCAGCTGGAGACCGCAAAACAGACGTACTCGCAAGAGCCGTCCAACTGGTCAAGACAAAGACTGAGATAGTCGACTTCATTCTTGCAGCTTGCCCATACAAGTAAAAAAATAAACAATTACGAGTTAAACTTTTTATTCTTTCTTTTCTGAGTTGTTTAGAGCTGGTTTCTCTTGTAGGAACCTTTCGTACTCTTCCATGGTCATGTAATTGCGAATTTGGTACGCAATTCCAGGTTCGTTGTTTTTGAACCTTATGTATGTAACGCTTCCATCCTCCTCAGGGAAGTAAGCTGCTAACATCTGACCAAGTTTTCTCGGTGACTCGGAGCTCATAAAAGTGTCACTTTTTAAACGTTAAGTTTTTAGTCTTATTTTACCCTTTGTTTACCCTTTGTTTGTCAAGGTAGTATTGGAGTGCAATTTCTCCAAATTCTCTGTGTCGGAGTTCTTCAGCATTTTCCAAGGTGTACCTGGAGAACTCAAAGAAGTTGTCAAGAAGATACTGCCATGCTGCTCTTCTGAGTTCGTCGGTATTTTGGAAGTGTTGCACCTTCGAGTCTGCGGACATGAAAAAATGACACTTTTTCTATTAAACCGTTTTGGCATTTCTCATGAGTGAGTATAGTTCTGCCGAACCATTGGAAGAGAAGAAGTACTCTTGCTGGCAAAAGACAAAAATAGTTGCCTTAGTTGTCATTGCAATTGTACTCGTAATTGAATTCATTGTACTTCTCTTCACGTACATAAAACTCAGCAATGGTATTTGCTTTAAGAAGCTACCATCTTACTAAGACTAAACACTTAGATTTTTCAAGCTTGACTTTTTACAATTTGAATTTTGTTGCTGAATTCAGCAAAAATAAAGTTTAGGTGAAGAGGTGAGATCTCACCCGTTTTTTCACCTGTTTTCTCACCCTCTCGAAAATCATGAAATTTACACCAAAAAATGTAATTTAGGTGAAGAGGTGAGATCTCACCCGTTTTTTCACCTCTTTTTTCACCCTCATGAATTTTCATGAATTTTCCCGAAATAAAAAATAAAGTTAGTTTTTTTTAAAAAATATTTTTTATTTTTATTGTAAGAACATGTTAGCAACAACAGCACCAAACTCGTTAGTCATGAATCCTACGTCAATGTTGGTAGAGATGAAAAGCTTCATTCCTTCTTCATATACTTTCGAAACAGAAATCCAGAAGATAAAGCAAGAACTTTTAACAAGTAATTTAGACTGTAGTGCGAAAGATGAAACAAATGAACAGTATCTTTATGAAATGCAGGATATTATTGACCATTTGCCTAAACTTCCTGAAATACAACAACAAAAACTAACTATTCCAGAATTTGAAGAAATTGAAGTCAAACCAACTGACTCAGTAGAAATAAAGAAGTTCATACGTAAGGTTAACTATGAGTTTCTTGGATTTCATTGCAACCACAAAGTCATGGACAAAGACTGCGACATGGTATATAAGAATGTTTCTGACCTTTACAAATCCGGGGAGTTTAAGACCTACGACAACTTTGTTTCGTTAGTTGCTGAATGTGTATGGCAGATAAGAGATAAAGATAAAAGAGGTAAAGTATGGAACGAACAAATAAAACCCGCAACTTTTGAGTTAAAGAAAACCATTGACGCCTTAGTTGTTCTAGCAGGTCAAATTTCAATGTACAATGCTAAAATGAACCCACAATGTTCTAAATGTAAAGCAGCAATGAGGAAATATAACTACTCCGTCAAAGAGATAGAACGTATGCGAAACGACTATGCTGACTTAAAGAAAGAAGCAGAGAAACCAGCAGAAAATAAAATGGACATGTTAGAATTTCTAAACAAAAACTATCCAACTGCTGACGATTTCCTTCTTTCAGATGTCAAGAAGAAATATAAAGATACATTCAATATTGTGAAAACTTTTGACATACTGACAGAAGAAATAGAAGCCACAAAATTGTTTAGAATTTCAAATATACATCGTACAATTCATGTAAAACGCTTATAAAAAAAAGAGGTGAGAAAAGAGGTGAGATCTCACCTCTTCACCTAAAATATATTTTTATTGAATTCAGCAACAAAATTCTGAGTAAAATGGCTTGTGTCAAACCGTTGAGTTTTCACAAAATTTAAAAAATAACGTTTACCATGTAAAACGCTTCTAAAATAACAGGTGAGAAAAGAGGTGAGATCTCACCTCTTCACCTAAATTATATTTTTGCTGAAAAATGACCAAATTTCATGAATTTCCTCATATGCTTGCTTCCCTCGGAAAACCGAGAGAAGAGATTCCGTATGAAAATCGTAAAAATTTGCGACCCAGACTTTTTTCGGGGTCGCCAAAACTCTATGAAAACAGTGAAGAACAGCGAGTAGGTAAAAAATCCCACTCGCCAAAACTCTATGAAAATCGTGAAATTTCTCTAGACAGACTTTTTTCGGGGTCGCCTAAAACTCTATGAAAACAGTGAAGAACAGCGAGTACGTAAAAAATCTTACTCGCCAAAACTCTATGAAGATGTGAAACAAATAGTTCAAGATACGTTACCTCAAACACACTATGATATGAAAGGTTGTACAATTCTTACCTTCAAAGAAGATTTGCCATTGTTAAAGGAAAAAATAACAGAGTATTTTGACAACTTCAAACAAGCAGAGTAAATGAACCATTTATTTTTACGCTTGACTTTTTACAATTTGAACTTTGTTTGCGTAGATATGAATTCTGAAAGAAGTATGAGGGTCTTGTATGACTTTGTACTTCTCCCATAGTTCATGTCTGTCAAACTTACCTGCCATGGACTCTTTCATAAGTTCCATGAAATCGTCTTCGGACAATCCGGGGAAAAGTATTATGTCAGTAAGTATTCTCTTTACATCCTTACTTAAACTCTTTGCTGTCTGTACACAAATGACAACTGAGATGTTAAAGTGTCTGAGCTTCTTAAGAATTCGACACATATCTTGTTCTCTATTCTTTAACAAAGGATGAGAAGCAAAGTCATCTAAGATAAGAAGACATCTATGAGGGTATGTCTTCCAATCGTAAGATTGCAATTTCTTCGAAATGTATTCTATCTCTTTCTGTTTGTTTCTGAAGTGTTTCTTCTCTAATATTCTCTGCATTTCCTCATTTGGGTCTTTAAACTTAGAATTTATATACTCATTTATAGCATTATACTTCAAAACTCTTCTTTGGTACTTCTTTATCCAATCTAACAACTCAGTATCCTTTATACATACTAACTTAGACTTCTTTATAATATCTTTGAACGAATTGACGGTTTGGTCAAATTGACCAGAAGTACTACAAATAACAACTAACTCATAGAATGGGTTCTTCTCATCTAGTTCTTGTTGTTGTGCAGCCATTTTAAGATAAGTGAAAGTCTTACCCGACCCAGGTGGTGCAATTAGACCTGTTATACCATTCTGAGCAAATAAGAACTTGTCATGTATAGGCTTTATCTGAGCATTTTCTAACTTCCTCTTGTTCTTGTTTAAAACATTCTCAAATTTCTTGTCAATGTCAGCAAACTTTTTTTCTAACATATTTTTAGAAAAATTAAAATTTTTATCTTTTAGAAAATGTCTAGCGATTTCGCTATCTATATTCGAGACAAACTTTTTGACAGCAAAACATCTGTCGACCATAAAATCTTACATAGTGTAAACAAGAAAGGTGAATTTGTTCTAAAGTTCTGTTTCTGGGAATATGACAAGAACCATAAAACATTACAAAGAGCAGTCTTAAAATTTGTCAATGACAGACTTGTTGACAGAGATGACACCGATTGGAAAGATGAAGTCCAACAAAAGTTCTTAGAATGCAAAGAAGACACATGCGCTGTTCTTGAAGATGAAATAGAAAACAGAATAGAAGAGCTATTAAAGGACAAAGAACTTTTACATAAATATGGTTGCGCCAAATTTGACATAACTCCACCAGAAAAGAAGAAGAGAGAAAAGAAAGAAAAGAAAGAGAAAAAAGTAGAAGAGAAGAAAGAACCTGAACCAGTTCCAGAGAAAAAGAAATTTGACATGTAAAAATAAAATTTTATTTTTAGAACATTTCTGGGTCAATGTCAATGTTCTCTTCCTCTTTAGGAGCAAACACCGGCTTAGACTCTAAAATCTTTTTACCCAATTTACCTTGAACTTCAACTATCTTAGACTCATAATATTCATAGTCGTCTGCTTTCTTTGGTTCATAAGGTATAACAAGTTTGTATGCTTTACCTTCTTCGAGTTTTGAGAACTTTCTGTCAAAATTTTCTTTGACTGCTAACAAACCTTCTATGTCTAAGTCTTCAAATTTCGCACCATTTTTAGTCACAATAGCAAACTTAACTGGTGCAATGTTCCAAATTTTGTCAAATGTAGACTTTTCAAAATTGTAGAAGTAAACATTCAAATATGTGAATGGAGCTAACTTATCTTTGACTTCTGTCATGTACTTGTTTACTGAGATGAATTTCGTCATCTTTTCTATCGGAGAAAAAAATATTTTTTTTTTAAAATTTACTCAGAAAAATTTTTCTTTGTATATACACCATTCTGAACATCTAAAAGACTTTTGACATTTGCCAAGAATGTTCGTTTAGAAGCTGCCATATAACCATACTCTTGACAATATTGTTTATACGAATCGTACAATGACCTTTCATCTAATGACACAAAGTCAGTTTCATCTATGAACAGTTCATAAACACTCTTGTTTGCTTCTAACAATGTTTGTCTCTCTTCGGTATGTGGAATTTGTCTTGGATTGAACTTAGAAATATCTAATGTCATGAAATATGAGAACAAGTGGTTGTAAAAGTCAGATGTCAAAGTTTCTGACAAAGCGTCAAAATATTCTGTATCTTGCATATGAGAATCTGACGTTCTGACAACTACATATCTTCTGTCAGAACTTTCTAACTTCATCGGAACAACATTGTTTGAAACCATAATGAAGTTTGCAACATTTTCACAAACTCTTGAGTCTTTATATTTTCTTTCAACAACTCCAACTTTGTCTGTTATAAGACTCTTCAAAGCATCTGAGTTCAAAACTTTTGTTGTATCTATACTTTGAAGTTCATTGCAAACTATAAGTTTCATATTCTCAATAGAAGAGTTAAATTTACCGCAGATGTTTTCTAAGTTTGTCATATTCGGATTCGAATAACCTTCTAACAGTTTGCACAAGATATCTGTAAAGAATGTGTTCTTACCTGTTCCTTGTTTTCCAATTATAATGAGAGCAGTTTCATTTTTAGCACTTGGATGTTGTAAGATGTTTGCAAACCAACATAAGATATACTCATAAACCTTTTCGTTTCCATTGCATATAATTTCTTTGACATGGTCTAACCAAGCTTCTATAATACTGTGTTTCCATTCTACTTGTTCGTATTTATATCCAGTGAAGATAGAATAGAAGTTTGGAGAAGGTGTATAAAACTTTATACCTCGAACTGAAAAATCTTCTAACTTTGACAATAAGATATCCCAAGCATCTAACATCTTCATGCCAACTTGTACGACTTTTATTTTCTTAAGTTTCTGTCTACATTCTTGTTCAGACACTATTGTTGCTCTTGGTTTGTTAAAGACTACATCCCATTCTTTCATAACATAACATTCTGGGGCAGAGTCAACATAAATGACTAAACGTTTCAAATTCTCGACTGCTTTGTTATAATCTCTAAATGGACACATATTTCTGAATGCTTGGAAGTCATAAAAATCTGAAACATCTATTCTGTACATTTTTATAAAAATAAAAAAATAATATTTTTTTTATTCTTGAGCTATTTGTTGTTGCATTTGTTCCATTTGTTGCATTTGTTGTTCTTGAGCTATTTGTTGTTGAAGTTGTTCTTGTAATACAATACTTTCACCAGTTGCATCTTCCAATTCGAAACTTTCTGCCGTCATTGACAAATACATAGGACATAAAAGTTTTACAGGAACAAAGTTTGCGTCAACTAAGGTTAAGTTTATGTTTGCTAAAGTGTTTGAGTTTACTAAAGCTGAAAACTCTGCATTCGAATGAACAATAGGCAAACCAGCAGAGAAAGTATTGTTTATACGCATAAGTATCTTTTGGTCATAATAGTTTCTGTCGACATTCGAATAACACTTTGAACCTAAGTTTGAAACAATATATAAAATAGGTGTACTTAAAGTCAATGGAACAGACATTCCTTGTATGACACCTTTTCCTGTTATAGGAAACTGTTGGTAGTAAAAACCAGATATAAGTTTTGTATTATAGCTCATATTGTTTATAGTAAACTCAGTCGGACATCCAAACATAATGAAACCTGCTCTAGTTGCAGCACATGTTACACTCGTCCTTAAAGTATTAAATAAGTCAACAAAACCTGTTGGTGGTATATCTGAGTAAGTATCTTCAAAGGAGTATTTTTTACCATTCACAACAATAAAGTCTTCTGGTGTCAAAAGAGCAAAACAGGCTTTAGTCGTCATTGTGTTTAAGGTTAGTTTACAATATCGTCCTTGAGGACTTTGTAAGTTTGTTGTTATAGAATTATATGACTCGGGGTTTTTAGTCGTAATAGTATAAACCATTATGTCTTCTGCCATTTACTTAGCAAATAAATTTTAATGAAATGTTGTGGTCGTCAAATATTTTTATAACGTCTGGGAAACTATATTTTAAGTTCAACGTTTCACCTCCTTTCATAACGTATATCTTGTCAATGACATTATATGAAACACCACAGCAACTAATGTCGGGTTCTATTTCTTTGATGTTTATATCGTCTGCCTCTGTCAAAAGTTTCAATAGTTCTTTCAAAACTTCATGAGGTGCAATGACATATGAGTTCACTTTTACAGGGTTGTGTTCGACCAAGTTTAACATTATACTTAAAGCTTGACAAATCTTCTCCTGAGTTTGAAGTTTGTCTTTCAGTTGTTGGTAGTCATTTCGAATATCTGCAACAGAACTTAAGTCTCTGGTAACTTCAGGATATGTTGGTTCTTTTACAGGAACTATTGTTATACCATCTTCGTCTTCGTATGGTTTTCCCACTTCAACATCTCTGTCTTTGACATTGACAACAACACTTTGACTGTTTGTTTGAGTTGGTGAATTTAACTTCACATCTGCCACCGCCATTAAACCTTTTGAAACACTTACGCTTCTATTTTTCGGAAATGACATTTTACTTAGAATAAAAAGATGGACGTATTCGAGTATCTCTTCGAATTGAAGCAGAACAAAGTTTATACTCACAAACAATACAAATACATTGACAGAATAGTTCTTTACACAAACAATGGTAAATGTTATAGAATAGCAGTCTTTGCTGAACCTAAATATTTTCATAAAGCAAAGAAAGTTGGTATAACTGAAATGGTGAAAGTTCTTGAAGCAGACAAAAATATAACTTCAAAACTGACCGATATTACTAAAGGAAAGTTTATAATACAATATTATGTCAAAACTGGCGTACTGTCAATATTTGACGGAGAGAAGTCAGTTCAAGAACAACTTACTGACCTGCTGCCAAAATCTGCTCGATGGAAGCTGTCGTTATGCCAATCTGAGGAGCCCCAGCAGGTTTCATCGAACGAATCTTCAAAAGAGCATCTTCCGTGAAAAGTGCTATTGGTTTTGTAAACTTCTTTGCTTTCAATTCATCTGGACCGTCTCTGTCACCAGTATATTGTATTTGTACAGTACCAACAGTTGAAATACCACCCATAAAGTCTTCTGAGTCAGCAAATGGAATGCCAAGCCAAAAGTTTGAACGGTCTCCATTTGTATATTGAGTTTTTTGACCTCCTGTATGAGTCCATACTTTCACATATGGCATAATAGAACTTTGCATTTCAGGGTTAATGGTTGTTGTGAAGTTGTTGTTAAAGTTCATAGCATCTAATGTCAAGTTGTATGACCTCATATCCTCAACTGTAGAATATTCTTCTCTTGGATAATATTTGCCATCTATGTTTATATGATATTTAATACCGGGGTTTAGAAACAAGAATAGTCATTTATAGTTCGTCTGAACAGTACAAACATAGTATCTGCATGTTTCATTGCAGTTGTTAAAGCAATATCTGTTCTTGCACCTGCGGCTCCTGGATTTTGGTTTCCAACTTCACCTGCAAAGTCTTTGACAGATATTTGGTGTATAGGGAACATAAGTGGAACTGCAATATATTTGGCAGCTAAAGCATTTAAATATCTGGATCCAACATATAGACTGCAAGTCTGCTTTCTATTCTCTTGCATTCAAATTTTTCGCATGTGAACTTAACTGGGTCCCAAGCAGTTCCAGCAGCATTGAAATAATAGTTTACTTCAGTGTTGAAGTTTGAGAAACCAAAGTCTAAGTCAACTTTGTCTTTGCAAAAGTCGGCGAATGACGTTTTATTTGTTCCCATTACGTCTGTAAGAGTGAATGGGTCTTGTGTTGGTGCAATGACTAAGTTATTTTTGCTTGGAGTAAGTTCGATAGAAATTTTTCCTGCCCAGTTTGGCAAGTATCTTAAAAACCTGAAGATGAGGAAAGATGACAAAGGAACTCTAAGTTTCAGTTTTACTTTAGTGGCAGCATTTCCATCTGAACCAGAAAGGTTAACATAAACTCCTGGAACGTTAGGGTCAAGTCTTCTTATTTTCTCAATAGTTGCATACTGGTCTGTTTGTTCTCTAGCTTGTGGTTGTACTGAGTTTCTCAAAGCGAACCATTCATAGTTTGCCCATGTTACTGTTTGAACTAAGTCAGAGTTAGAATATATCTTATATCCCATGAAAACTTCTGGAGCATATTGGTATCCGACATAGAAAATTCCATTGCAACCTTTCTTGTCAGACAACTTGGCAGAAGGTTTTATTTCAATGTCTTGTTCCACGTATAAGAAAGAGTTGTCAATAGAAATAATGTGAAACCTGTCGCATGCAATATCTACTGTTGTTGAAGAACCTTCACCAAACTCACCTACGTTTCCATAAGAAACAGCAGTTGTATATTCGTAAGTTCCAGGAACTATTTCTGACCTTCTAATGGCATTGTCGCATTCGTTATACCATTCGGAAACATTTCCATTCATGGCATCCAAAACTGTTGGCGTTATATTCTGAGCGGCGTACATTTCATATGGGTAAAAATATAGAATAGTTGGATTTATATATCATAATAGAACCCACTCGGACCAAGCTTTACTTTCTTCCTGGCTGACTTTTTAACTCTTCTTTTTCCTTCATTGCCACTACTTTCACTAGATGAAGTTACTTCTTCACTACTTTCACTTTGTTCTACTCTTCTTCTTTGGTGTCGCTTTTGGTAACTTGCCCTCTGCTTCAAGTTGTTGCATCTTTGCCTCATGTTCACCTAGTATGTTGTAAATTTCCCATGTCCTTTTGCCTTTGGGCTCTGGTCGCCCATCTCAGGTAACCTATATCTAGAAAGAGTTTGTCATAGTTTGTATTTGAGTCTTCGCGTATTGTTTGCATGACTCTTTCCTGAGTTTCCGTTCAAGCTCTTCAAATATAGCTTGTCCATATGGAATAAGCTCGTTTCCAAATATATGTTTTTGTAGCCATTCTGGTTTTCTTTCCATGTAACCAATAATATCTTTTGTGAATGGGAAAGCTTTTACCCAACGTTTCAGGCTTGCGTCATTTATTTCTGTAGTTGGTTTTATTTTGTCAAGGAACATGTTTTCAATACTAACATTTCATTTGGTACTGTCCATTTGAGTTTTCTTAAATATTCATCCCTTCTCATTTCATTGTCTGCAAAGTAAGTTTTTATGACATTTTGCAAACTTTCGTTTGCAAGGTCATGTACAATAGGTTCTCTTCCTTCTCTCTCCCTAACTTTCTTTCTAAACTCTTCACCAAATATACCATCTCTATGGTTCTGTGTAGTTCTTTGAGATAAATGTTTTAGAACGTCAGGTGTTATATTTCCATCAGCCATGTTCATTTCATACTGGTCCAAAATATCTGCATCTTTCATATCTTTCAAATGGCATTAAAGCCGCGCTGAATACCAGCTACATCTGGTTCACCAATTCACTTCCATTGCGTCTACAACTTCTTGGAATTGAGGTTGTAAGTTTATGAACCACCTATCCGGATTAGCTTTATGACCCCATCTCATTGTAGTTCCATCGTCTGCAGAAACAAAAGTAGGTTTGTTTCCATAATTGGCTAGGTTCTGAATGAACTTTAAACAATGTTTCATTTCTAATATGTTTTGGTGAAATTTAACCTTTTATTTTCACCGAGTTCAGCCAAAGATTGAACGTTATATGGTCGTAAGTAAAAAGGATTGTTGTATTGGCGTACATTTTCTTTCAGTACTTCCATTCTATGCTGAATATTTTCATCTGATGTTGGAGTCTTTTGTATGTCGGTAAACATTTTTCGATATTCTTCTACTCTGTCAGCCGAATTTTTCTTAGACTCTTGGAAAGATTCCAATATTCCCCGCATACACTTGTTGAGGGTCAAGATTTTTCGGCTGTTCCAAATCTTCATCTAGTTCTGTGAAGTTAGTTTTCCAAAGGAGGGACTTGTTTGTTTCCTTCAGGCTCTTCTAGCTGTTGTTGCTGAACTATTTCTTCCATGTCTGGTTGTATCTGAACTTCTTCCTGTGGAGTTTCTTGTACCTCATCTGCTGGCATTTCATATATTCCGAGACCGTTTTTAACAAGTTCCCTATTTAAGTCATCCGCATTCATAACCCTTTCTTCTTTCGTTCCGTCTCTATTTTTTACGCGTTTCATGAAGATAGTTGAATTATCATTTATTCTCTGACACCAAAATATCTCGGAGTAAATTCAGTCATGTCATTTGGATGATATGCTATTAAATCATATCCCTTAGCGAGCTTGTATTTTCCAGGTTTGAGATTATATCCGATTTGGTGCTGAGCCATAAAGCTAAATAGGTTCGGGTCAGTATCCTTCCTCGAACTTTCTAATAGCTTCTTTATATCTGTCACTAAAGTCAAGAGTATCTGGGTAACCATAATTTCCTTAAGCATTTTTAAGAATTCTTGGTTTCCTTGTTCTCTACTTCTTTATGTCCTTGCTCTGTTTGTGGTTGTTGCTGTGCAGTGTTTTGAACTGTTGGTTGTGGTGCGTGTTTTGAACTGTTGGTTGTGGTGGCAGTGTTTTTGAACTGTTGGTTTGGTGCAGTGTTTGAACTGTTGGTTTGTTGTGTTGGTTGTTGTGTTGGTTGTTGTGTTGGTTTTGGTGCATGCCTGTGTCTGTGTCCATGTGACGATGTAAATGTTTTAGGTAGTCCTGGTGCAGGTGCTTCTCTTGGAGGGTTTGGTGGTATATAAGTTCACTAGCTAGTATATAAGTTCCACCAGCTGGTATATAAGTTCCACCAGCTGGCACATATGTTCCATCTGCAGCATAATGTCCTACCTGACTTTTCGTTTTTAAGAAAGCATTTACTAGGTCTGTTTTGGTCTGTTGTAAATCTTTTTCTTGACTTTCCACAACAGTTGCTCTAACGGCGTCATAGGCACTTTGAACTGCCAGTCTCGTTGCTGCATCTGTTATTTTCGTCATATTTTGTGCTACTTCTCTTAACTCTTTGTCGAAACCTTCAGACTTCAGTTTCTTTCCAGATGAGAAATCGTTCACTTGTTTCACCTTACTATGAAGAGCTTCGAAGGCGTTCTTAAAGTCAGCATTCGTTAAAGCTTCATTTGAACTGTCTTCATCCGCTTGTATTTTTGTCCTTATTGACCCTATAAGTTGGGCTGCTTTAGCGTTGGCTTGGGCATCTAACCAGTCATTGTTAGCTTTTATATATTCTGCGCTTTTCATTGCCTTTTGCATGGCTGCGTCGTTATTTTTACTTTCTTGTGCTAAGTTTTCATACTGTACGGTTTGGTTTTGCAACTGTAAAAGTTTTTCTGCCTTTACATTTGCTTCAACTTCTTTTTTATACTCATCGCTATCCATATATGTCTTCAGGGCTTTTTGTTTTATCTCTTCATCTTTCAGTACTTTATATTGAGTAGTATGGTTTTTCAAATTTATAACATCTTGTTCCATTTTTGCTACTTCTGCTGCTTTTTCTGACACTTTTTTCGCATATTCCTCTGTACTTAGTTCTTTCAGTTGTTCTTCTTTCTTCTTTTTCTCTACGTTTAACTCATTGAGTTTCTTTGTGTGTCTGTCATATTCTAGTTTCTTTTCGTTTTCACTTATTTGTTTCTGTATGTCTATGTTTGACTTTTTGACATCTGCTATTTGATTTTTGAGTGAACTCAAATTCATTTGACTTTGAGGGTTATAAGCTGTTCCGTCTGCAGCTCCACCATAGCCTGCCATTTTCGCTAAAAGTGCCGCTCTTAAACCTCCACTCTGTGCACCAAGAACTCGGTTTAAAAGCATAGGATTGCTTGACATTTGTTGCAACATAGTGGGGTCATTCATAATTTGTTGTTGCAACTGTTGTTGTGGTGTCAGTTTTACTATTGGATGTTTCAATGCTCTCTTCCTCTTACGTATATTCTTACGTAGCTTACGTGGCATTTTAAGTGAAGTAAAAAACGGTTTTTGACAGATGTTTATATGACACTTGACAAAACATTTACGAAGAAGTCTTGAAAATTCAAGAGGTGAGAAAAGAGGTGAGAAAACAGGTGAGATCTCACCTCTTCACCTAAACTTTATTTTTGGGTCCTTTACACTCATTACGAAGAAGTCATGAAAATTCAACGGGTGAAAAAAGAGGTGAGAAAACAGGTGAGATCTCACCTCTTCACCTAAACTTTATTTTTGGGTCATTTACATGAAAACATATATAATTTGTGAAAAGCTCCTGGAAGACCCGTATATAAGAACTTCATTTATACTAAACATCTTCAGGGCTAGAAGGCACGAAGTGCCTGGAAGCCCCACTACCTTTTTTTTTTTTTTTTTTATAAAAAAGAAAAAATAAAGCACGTTAAAATTTTTCTTTCTTGATTTTTTACAAAATCTACTTAGAATTATGCAAAATATGACTAAATAATTATAAATTTCAAGTTAAATTTTAATTTTGATAAATAATTTAAATTTCAAAATATCAAGTTCAGTTCGACTATGTATGTAGTAATTCCTCAATAAAGTGCCAAAACCCTATTAAATATATGAACATTTTCAACATTTTAATGTTTTTATTTAAAAATTTGTTGGAATATGAGCTTCAAACAATTATTATGTAAATAAAAATAATTAAATATATGTATTTATTCGTATTACAACCGTAGTAAGTCGATTCTTCCTTTCTTCTACTGAGATTTGAATTTGATTTCGAATTGTAAAGAGATTCAAAGGGAAAATACTAGCGGATAAAAACTACCTCCATGAAAGGGTCATAATGGAGTCAAGTTGTATTTTTTGATATTTTTTGCTTTTCGAGCCTAAATAGGTAGCCAAGAAATTGCCTAAAAATAAGGTTCTAAATTCTGAAGTTTACATGATCCTCTCGTGTGCACCCTTAATTTTTTATCAAGAAATTTCTAAAATTTCATCAAAAACAAAATAATGTTTCTTAATATTAGATATATCCCTATTTTCAAATCACAAACAATCTAAGCTTAGATTATTTTCATTTCAACAAATTAAATACTATCGGAGTTCTTTTCTCCACTATATTTCGCGTATTTACGTTTATGAACTCTTTGTGTGAACATATATAATAATTGTTTCGAGTTACCAATTTCAAGTAAACTGTTCAAAAAGAGGTAATATTCATATTGAGAAATGTTATCTTTTTTTAACTGAGCAAATATATGTTATGAATATTGGTAGCAAACTACGTTTAGAATAGAAAAAGAATATATATTCATCGGCGATTTAGTTACACAACTTATACAATTTCATTCCCCCCACATGTTTCACAGCTTACTCAGTATTCTTCATTACATCACATATTGATAGAATATGAAAAATATTTACTAAAAAAGTCGTTCCAAGGCTTTTAATGACTTATATATATGGACACAGTTTATCTTGACGCAAGAATTAGATGCAAACGAGCAAGAGACATGTGATGCAGAAAAGAAATGTGCAAACTAAGATCTTAAAACAATAATAAGTACTTAAGGCTTCACTTACGCCCATCTGACTTTTATTCAAATTTTTGACAACTGGCGTGAAGCATCATTGAAAATTAACCTTAAATATCTGAATTGAAGGCTATGTCATAGGGGTGTAACCCGAATTGAAGGTTAAGTGCACCCTTAAAAAAATTGGACTTCATAAAAATGCAATTTTAAATTTGTTGCGACTGTTAGTTATGTTTTCATAAAAATCTTTTGAAAAACGTATGAATTTTCATATCACAAGTCATTGAATGTCAACAAATCGTCGTCTAAGACAATATTACGGACTAGAAACATCAGAAACAAACAATGAAACAGATATTGATTCTCCCAACTTCAATTCTGATAAATATTTTGCCGAAAACACGAAAAATGAATCAATTCACAACATTATCGCAACTCAAAATCAAATCATCTCCGAGATTCGTACATATGAAAACGAGCTTCAAACTATTGTTTATGGCAACTATCAGAAGTTTTTACATGCAAATGATGCAGTTAGTGAATTTAAAGAACAAATTGTAGATTTACGTGCACAAGTTGATCACCTCAAGGAGCATTTTACGGAAATGCAAAAGAAAAACAATGAAATTGAAACCAAATACGGTAAAACGAAAGAAGAAGTTGTTAGTTTAACCGGCATTTCTAGACTTCTCGAAAGAGTTAAGTTCATAATGAATCTACCCAAAGAACTTAAAAACTGTTTAAAAACAGGAAATTACAAGAAGGCTGTTAATATTTGGCTAAAAGTCGAAAAAATTCTAACAAATAACAGTAACATTCCATCATTCCAGGGTATTCATTCCACATGTACAGAAATTATGGAAAAGATAAAATCCGAAATTTCTAGCCATATGGTAAATACAGATATTTCGGTTTCTGAATCAATTGAATATGCAATTCTTCAAGTACGCCTCGGATATTCATTACAACTTATTTGTTCTTCACTTGCTTTCCATGAATACCTTATTATTGACAACAGACTCGAAGATGATTCTAAACCTGCCGGCCCAATTGAATTACTTGAACAAGTCGACCAACTTGCGATTCACAATGCAACAGAATTTGTTTCCCTATTCAAAGAAAAGCTTATTCCACTGGAAAACGAGAATTCAGAAAAAATAAGCAAGGTTTTATCAGATTTTACATCAAACACATTCGAGAGAGTTTGCAAATTCGTTAGTAGTGGCGTTAATCTTACAAATCTCTCAGTAGATGACTTCTTTTCCTACTTAAACAAGTTTGATACTTTATTAACTCCGATTGCAACTTCAAAACAGCTTTCTGATTACACACATAATGTTATTGTAAAATATATCGAGGGGGTAACAGAGAAAATCTATCAAACAACCGTAGAATTCTTAAATACAAATATTAAGTCAAATGCAGATGATTTGTCTAAATCTGTAACAGAACCGATACTAAATCTGATTTCACAGTTTGCACCATACTCAGCAAATTACGGCGAATGCGTAATGACTCTTGCAATACAAATTCAATTATCTCTTATCAAATTATTCGAAGTATTCAGGTCTACGCCTGGTGATGATGTACTTGCTCTCTCTAAGGTAGCTCAAAGGCTTTCTGAAGGTGAAATTAAGGGAATTTATTCAAGAATTTCTGATATCGAGCAAGGTATTCCATCTTTATCAGATGAATTAACTGTTGCAGCCAAAAGAACATCTGAGCAATGTCTTCTTGCTTTTATCACAGCTGCAAGGCAACAAATTGACTTGCAGCTCATTAAAGACATGTCGGATTACAATTCCTACCCGGAGGAAGAACCGATCTCCCCATCTCAGGCAGCCATCAACCTAATGACTACTCTCAAAGATTACAGCCAGAGAGTTGCAGCTCTTTTCAATCCTGCCGATTATGCTGGCACTTCTTCTCCAAGAAAAACTGTTGTTTCTTCATCGAATGTAGCCACATTTAATGGTGTTCGTGATGCTAGTGATATTTCGCAGATGTTCCATCAAGCAACATTCGGCAGATTATTCCTGAATCCGAAGATTTCTATGGACCCAGCCGAAATTATCTTTTCATTGATTATTTATTCAGTGAAATCATTCCTTGAGTTTGTCAGGAACATGACATACTCAAAGTATGGTTTTCACCAAGTCCAAGTTGACTGTTTCTGCCTATCAAACATATTCCAGTTCGTCGATAAAGTTGGATTTGAACGAATCGACTCAGAACGAACTGGAATTGTCACATTTGTTCTTGAAGAAGCTGCATATTCAGCAGGAGACAGGACATATGATAGAGATCCCCTTCAGTTGACAGCTCTTCACTCTATTTGGGATGTTTATATGGAAAAGCATCAATAAAAAATTATTAATAATGAAAAAAAAACGATTATTTAAAAAAATGCACTCACAGTCGTATAACAATTGTCACAAATTTGAATAAAAGTCAGATGGGTGTAAGTGCAGCCTTAAGAGTCATTTACAGGTTTCTGAAATGCTCTCAAAAATCGGTATTCATGGGTGAAGAAGAAATCCCAATTGTCTAAGGTAAAAAAGTTAAGAGTTCACTTACATTCATATGATATGGACTTCAATTCAGATGCTTAAGGTTAATTTTGTAATTGACGCATGAAATTTTGTTCTTATAAACTTGAAACAATCGATTGAGCCGCAATAACAGCATATTTCGAGTATATTTAATGATTTTTCAACACATGGAATGAAATCAAAATTGATTGCTTTTAATGGAGAAAATTCATCTTGTCCTGTGAATGAAATAAATAGATTCACGTCTTCATCAATAATTGATTCCAATAAGCTAGTGTAATTGGATGAAATATCATTAAGAAAAGATTCTTTGAGCAGTTTTTTCTTTAGGATCAAATAAGATAGCCTATACCGATTGTTCTATTTTTCTGCATTTGAAATTATTTCCTTGAAGTGGTCCCTGAAATATTTTTTCGAGTTATACAATAATTTAATTTTAATTTCATCACAAAAAGCATTGATTTCGTCTTCATTTGTTATATGAAACATATACAACTTAGTTGTAATATCATTATAATCTTTGAAACAATCAACAAAATCGTCATAATGGAGAATATTGATTAAAATGATATTGATTGGTTTACAATAAAAGAAAATTTAGCGAATTTCCTCAGACTTTTCAGAGGATTGAGTGACAACTCAATCCTCTGAAAAGTCTGAGGTAATTCTTAGTCTCTACACTATTTCAATAAAAGCTCCATTTTTAAACAGTTTTTTAAAAATCGAGCATTGAAAAGTGTGAGGAGACTTTCAAATTAAAAAAAGTCGGAATTTTTTCATTCAATTTTATCGGGGCTCAAAAGCAACAATAATGATTCTTTCACCTACAGCCGCAACAACATCATATTCACCTAATGCGTAGAAAATCGCAATATGAAAATCAATATTTTGATAATTATTATTTTATTCAATATCTTTGGGAATTATCTCTTAAAAAAGAAAGGAAAAATTGAATAGTTTTGAATACAAACAAGAAAGCGTTTATAATGTTGAATAAATGAGAAAATAATATTTCGGGATTTAACCCAACAAATTATTTAACCAAGAATCCAAATCTTCTTGCTTTTTAGCTTCTTGTTTTTCTGTTGCTGGCTTCGTATTGTTTTCTTGTAATTTTGGAGTATTGATTTCAAAGTTCAGAGGAATATCAATGATATTTTGCTGTGGCTCCTTAGCTTTAGTTTCGGTTTGGGGAGTTTCATTCTTATTATTTACTGTTGGAAAATATAAAATTTGAACTTCTTTCTTTGGCAAAGGCTGTAATTCCAAAGACATTAGTTTTTCTTGAGGAACTTGTCTTAATATACGAGTTATTTCATCAACTTGTTGACTTGTAAAATGGAAATTCTGATAATTTTCTCTTGACATTTTTGAATTTTTCTTATTTGACTAAAAGTCACTTTTTATATCCAAGTTGTCACTTTTTATATTTTTTTTCTAATTTTTTTTATCAAAATTTATGGCATCTGATATTTCTTCAGTTACTAATGAGATGATGCATACTATTCAAGCAGCCAACAAGGCTTTTGAGTTTGTATGGTCGAGCATTGCAAATACAGCAAAAGAAATAAACGCTCCAAATGTTCTAGAATACGCTTCACGTAAAACAATTTCATATAATCCGAACAATCCAGATATATTTCAAACTGAACCTGAATTAAAGCCAGGAACTCAAATTATATGCGATATTATGACTTCGAATTTACATGAAGTCAATAGTAATGCAAATAACTCTGCAAGCTGGATGATTCTCGGTCATTGTTATTTAATGATTAGTGATTACGCTAATGCATACTCCTCTTTTTCACATGTATTAAGAATTAACAACCAAATTCAAGATCCTTATTTCTGGTACAGTTTCGGATGTGTTTATCAGCATTTCAAATACTACGATGATGCTTTAAAGTTCTTCTTGAATGCAAAAGAAATAACAAAGAACCCAGCCTTAGCTCCAGATTATCATCTCAGATTAGCTTTTATCTACAGAGCAAAAAAGATGTTCCCGAACGCATATGCAGAACTTGATGCAGTACTGAATAATCCACCACCAAATCTTAAGCCTGACGATATTGTTTTCCAAAGAGCTTTTACACTATTATTAGAAGGCCAAACTGATCTTTCTCTACAAGAATTCAAGAGACTCGTCAACAAATATCCAAATAATCTTAAAGTTTTACAGCAATATACTTGGATTTTATCTTTCAGAGACGATAAAGCTTCTTTGAACGAATTACAAGTCGTTATCAGTAGCCATCCAGAGTTTGATAAGGATCCACTCCTCAAATTCATTCTAGCCCGAATTGAACTCAATAATTCCAACATGGAGTCCGCCTACAAGAAATACTGCGACATTATTGTCGATTGGTGCGATTCCGCCCTCTTCTGGTGCGAACTCGGAGTACTTTACTGCAAGAATGAACAATATCAAGATGCAATTGTTGCTTTTCAGAGGGCAATATACCAAAAAGCTCAAATCCCTGAGGCTTGGCTCAACTTTGGCCTCATCCTCGAGAAGCACCATGACTTAGATTCCGCAAAAAGACTCTATGAAACAGGAAAACAGACTTGTGAGAATTCCCAGAAGATCCAGGAGCGTTTGGACAAACTTATAAAGGGCCAACGCAACAATGTTAATGATGAACAGCCGGAAGAAATCAGAGATCCGAGATTTTTCCAACAAATTGGAGATATTCAAGAACTAGGTATTAATAGGACGCCGCCAAAGATACCTACATCATGCGTTACAGCTAATAAAGAATTGGCGAAACAGATAGAAACTCTATCAATGAATTACGAATCATTGTTTGAAGCATAAGTATTCATTTATTGGTGTAAATAAAGCTATATTTTATGTTTAAAAATTTTATATAAAATTAGGTTTCCTTTCTATCAAATTTATAAAATTAAAAATATTCAAATGGAAATATAGTCATTTTAAACTTAGAATGGGAATTCTCTTCCAGACCAGTAGTTATTCTTCCTTTATAATTTTGTGAAACGTTAGACCATTAGTATCTAATTTATATAAGACGTTTCATAAGTCGCTTTAAATCTACTTCTAGATTTCCAACGGAAAAAAAAGAAATTTAAGGGTGCACTTACGCCCCTATGACATGGCTTTCAATTCAGATGGTTAAGGTTGATTTTCAATTATGCTTCACGCCAGTTGTCAAAAATTTGAATTAAAGTTAGATGGGCGTAAGTGTGGCCTTAAAAGCTTATTGAGTGTCAAAATAAATTGTAAACATCACAAATTTTTATGCCTTCCAAAATTCTTTTTAATCCTTGTGCAATCGCATTAAAATCAGATGCTATTTCTATATTAAAGTTTTCATTTATTTTTAGGAAATCCGAAATTCCCTACGTTCCCAACTTCTGGAAAACGGTTTTTCACCCTTATGATCAGTTTCAGACACTTTGGGAATCTCCCAAACTTTGATATTTTGCATTATGATAGAGAAACGTGTCTAGTTTAACGCACAGTTGTTTTAAAGGCAAATGATGATATCACATGAAATTATCAAATTATCAAATTTTGAAGTACCAGTCCAAAGGGTTAATTAGATCCTACACAGATGTGCGATAGTGAAACATATGTGTTCTTGATTTGAGAAGTCCTACTGATAGAGGTATGAATCTCACAGCTTTGTGTGAGTGTGTCTGACACTTGTATAGAGTGGAATATGCGCCGACATATATTATATAATAACATGTAGTTCATAATTATGAAAAAATAGAATTTGATGCGAATGATATTGAAAGTTGTTTTGTAATTTGATATTTTTCTTATATGTGTTAATTAGTAAATGGCTTGTTTGTTGTGATCGTACTGTGAAAAATGAAAGGTATTTTAAATTAAAAAAATGAGATTTTGAGATATCTCTAGAATTAAGAATTTATTATGTATTTGACTTTTATATAACTATGTGTAAAGGATCTCGATGTGTATATGCTTTAAATAAAATTAAATAAAATGAGATAAAAAATTAAAATGGACAAGAAGATATATGGAAATGTAATTTGTATTGTATTGGTTGTTGGCAAAATGATTTTAATACAGATTTAAGGATTTGGAATGGATTTGAAATTAAATGATTTTTATTCAAGGAATAATAAGATTTTGAACTGGTTTTTATTTTGAGAATGTAAACTCCTTCCATAGGATATGTATTAGAAAGATCAATTTTAAACTTTTTGAAAGAATTGTTTTTTTGTTGAGTGATTTTCTCTCATTTGATAATATTTTTAAGTTGGCGTATCTTACGCCCTTCCAAAAATATGTATTAGAAAGATCAATGTCAAACTTTTTGAAAGAATTGTTTTTTTGTTGAGTGATTTTCTCTCATTAAAAAAAAAAAAAAAAAAAAAAAAAGGTAGCGGGGCTTCCAGGCACTTCGTGCCTTCTAGCCCTGAGGATGATTGATATAATGAAGTTTTTTTTTTCTTGGGGTGGCCTTCCAGGGGCTGCGCCCCTTCTAGCCCACATAAATGAAGTTCTTATATTCGGAGGGCTTCCAGGAGCTTTTCACAAATTATATATGTTTTCATGTTTGTCACTTTTCTGTCACTTTTCAGGTAAAAACATTTTTATTATTATATATAAATGAATTTTACAAAACCACCGTTACCGTTCTTTGGAAATAAGAGTAGATGTAAAGATATTATATTGAGAGAACTTAAGAAACTACCGAATGGTCTAACATTTGTAGATTTGTTCGGTGGAAGTTTCTATATATCCCATTTGTGCCATATAATATTCCCAGACTCAAAGATTATATGCAATGACTTCGACAACTATATGGACCGTCTCAAACATATTCCAGACACAAACAAAATATTGAAAGAGTTAAAAGAAAAGATACCTATAGGTAAGATGGAACGTATACCATTAGATAAGAAAAATATTGTGAGAGAGGTTTTGAAAAAGGCAGAGTATATTGACTGGGATAGTATATCTGCTAGACTATTATATAGTGGTTCTATAAGAGTTCATGACATTGAAACACTTATGTCAAAAGTTTTATATCTTAACTATATAAATGTTTTCAAAGAGGACATAGAAAAATATATTGAGGGTATAGAGTTTGTGAGATGTTATTGGACAGAGTTGTATGAAAAATATAAAGACAAGGAAAATGTTTTCTTTATAGTAGACCCGCCGTTCTATAACACATACGATTTTCAATACCAAGCAGACTGGACTTTGAGAGACTCTTTAGAAACTTTAGACGTTTTACATAACCATCCATGCTTTTACTTTACATCCGATAAAAGTGGTTTGGAAAGTGTCATGAGATGGTTAGAGGACATACATGACTATGAGTTTAGATACGATAAGATAGAATATGAGAGAGGTCCTATAAACCGGAGAAAGTGTCATAACAAAGAAATTTTATTGGTAAGTAAATGTGGTTTGAAATAGGACTACTTGTTTTAGGTTTTTTCCATTGTGTCATTTACTTATTTGACGTGGCAGAAAGATATAGAGAATATGAAGATGAACCAATACCAGCAAATGTTCAGCATATGTACTCGTAAGAGATATTTTTATCTAATATTAAATGGACGCACAGAACTTAGCGAATGCACAGCAACCTGGACAACCAAACCCAGAGAATATTCCAAATGAAGTTAGAATACAAACTGCAATGGCAAACTATGGTCAAGTGCCAACAGATGTACAAATGCAAACTGCCATGTCAAATGACGCTGCGTTAGGTTTGCCACCATGGTATGCAAATATGAGATGGAAAGAGTTTTATACAAACCCTGAAGTGGGATATAAACAACTTTATGCAGATGACGCGAACACAGGAGTTGACCCAGAATATGTTTTCTACCAGAGGAGAAACAGAATGTATGAGCTCCAGTTAAAGAATGCTATGGAACTCAACAGGAAACGTAAGAGACTAGGCGGACATTAGATTTTTACATATAGTAAAATGGGTTTCTTTGGAAGAATAGGAAACTTCTTTCGAAATGTTGGAAGAGGTATATGGAATGGAATAAAAACCGTAGGAAGAGGAATTTGGAACGGAGTCAAAAATATTGGTAAAAGAGTAGGTCAGTTTGTTGGTATTATACCTAAAGACCCTGAACCAGAAGAACAAGCTCTGTTATACAACAGCCTGAACCTGCACCACAGTCTAGTTGGCAACCAAATCCAACACCTCAACCGTATTAAAAAATATATTTTACCGTTCGATAGTAGTTGTATATGAAACTAAGTTCTAAGTAAAACGCATGGTATAATGGAATTATTCTTTTTCTTCCATCTGTAGTAAACCATACTTGAAAGTCTGAAATACTTCCACTTGGTGGTTCATATAACTTTGTAGGTTTTTCGTAAAAGTCATTTGCCAAGCATAAGAAAGAGTTTTGAGCGCCAGAAAATGAAGCATGAACAATAATAGCAGCTGGGTCGAAAACATCTTTAAATAAATATGGTTCATCTCTTGCATATCGACTGTAAATATTTGCTAAAGGAAGTTTGACTTTCTGATTTAACATTCTTTGCAAATAATACCATGACATTGCAGTGAATTCTGTATATATTTGTTCGTCTTTCTTTGGATTGTCTTCGTAGATTTGAAATGACACTTGTGAATTTTGTTTGTCATATACAATTCTCACATAAAGTGTGCTCTCGGTATTTGCATATTCATCAGCATATTTTGCATAACATGAATTTATTTTATCTTCTATATTTTTTAACGCAGTCTGTAGAGAAGATGAAAGGTCAACTTGTATTAGCTCAATTTCTTCCCACATTTTTCGTTTCCCTTCAGATATATAATCTATATGAAACCTTACAATAAATGGAAAACTTTTATCTTCTACAGACACAAACTTCATTCTACGAAAGCCAATAGCTTTTGTGACAGATGGGTCTCTTAGCCATCTTAATGGGTAGTCAAAACGATAGCCTTCATGCTTTACGGTCTCTGTCTCAAACTTTTGACCGACATTAGTAAAAAGTTCATCTAATGGTTTAGTTGTAGCAACTCTTGAATTTTCTTTTTCTATTGGAAGCATATTTTATCTAGAATAAAAATGTCAAATGAAACAGCGTCTATGAGAGAAATACAACACAACCGACAACTCATTGTGCAAGCTCTAAATAAGAACACAACAAACTTTTCAAACTATTCTAAGATATCTGAGTCATTGAAAGAAGGAAACTTAAAACTGACATTAAACCCAATGACAGATGAGTTTCTGTTTCAAGACAATAAGAACCATACTGTCTGTATAAATCCAACAAAAGGAACTTTAAACGAGAAACCTATAAATGAACTTCTTTTGAAAGCAGATGTTGACAACAAAGCTGACAAAGAATATGTAGACGATGAGTTAGCACGTGTGGCTAGTGCGTTAGTGAAGAAGGCAGATAAGGAATATGTGAATGAAAAAGATGAAAAAATTATAGAAAGGGTTGAATGGTACCATGAACGGACAACAAAGATTTTAAAAGGTAAAGCCGATACAGGGTGGGTTTCAGGATGTTTAGACCTTAAAGCGGATAAGAACCATACACATACCATTGCAAATATTACAAACTTACAAGAAACCTTAAACAGGAAAAGTGACGTTGGACATACACATACCATTGCAAATATTACAAACTTACAAGAAACCTTAAACAGGAAAAGTGACGTTGGACATACACATAGCTTCTTCGCAACTGTTGGTATAGAAAATATTGAAGGAACGGTTGAAGAAACTGGTGGGGATGCAATATATTGTAAACCTCCTAACTTTCCACAAGGTTTAACATCGGATGACGACATAACAACGATGAGAAACATTAGATGTAGAGATGTTTATGTCATGGAGGATGAACATAATATTAAATTCACTGCTCAAGATTTATATGACAAGAAAGCAGACAAAACAGAGCTTCAAACATTAAAGACAGAAATACTTCAAACCATTTACCCAGTTGGTTCTATTTATACGTCAATGAACTCTACCAGACCAGAAGTAGTACTTGGTTTTGGAACTTGGACTCAAATACTCGAAAGTTTTTTGTATTGTGCACACACTCCAAAGAAAACAGGTGGAAGTAAAACGATATCTGTCGACAACTTGCCACCACATAGTCATTCTGGTACAACAAACTTTTCTGGCGACCATAGCCACTCATTAAGAGACCACCCATTATACAACTCAGAGTATGAAGCTGGCTATGACGTTTTATCTCCAGATTATAACCATTCAGCAAAAAAGACTTTTCGACAAACTGAACCAGGAGGAAACCACCAACATACTTTTACAACAACATCTACAGGACTAGGTAAAAAATACATGCCACCTTACATGACAGTTTGTGCATGGTATAGAATTGCTTAGTCGTCATTTTCAACTTCTTTAGCATATTCGTCAGGAGTTGTCTTATATTTGTTAGGAACTGTCTTTGAAAGTATACCACCTTGAACCTTAACAAGTTTGAAACGAGGTCTGACAATAGTAGTTTTATCTTCTGCTTGCAGTCTGTACATTTTGCCATGTTTGCCTAAAACTTCATAATATTCTCTTGTATACTTTCTTCTATTTTTACGAACACGAATGTGAGTACCTGTCGAGTTCCCATTGTTGTCATAGTCAATAGTATTTTCATATGGGTCGCGTTTAGGTATTTCTATTTTTACTTTGTCACCTTTCTGAAGTTTGAAGCCTGGCATTCTTTCTTGTTTGTCTCTTTTGACTAAATTATTAAATATATAGTCTTTCTCTAAGTCAGGGTTGTTTTTCATTTCTTCGGGGGAGTGGTTTCCCAAACCTTTTTGTTTACGGCTATTGTAAATATTTAAAACTTGTCTCATCTTTGCCATGGAGAAGTGTCTATACTTGTCGTCATATGACATTTCATTTGCTTCACCACCTTGTGGTTGGTTTAAGTCTCTTAAGATTTTTATACAACTGTCAATGACACCAAGAGCAGAATGGTTTTGGTCGACAATGAAATATTGGTTTACATTTTTTGAACGCAGATAGTTTTTTACATCGTCTGATTTGAAAGAACTTTCACAGTCAGATGTCAGTTTTGTTGGATGGTATTTGTCAACGAATATTGTCAAAGCTGCTAAGATATCTAAAATATTTTTGGACTGTAATGGTATGGCTTCACAGTATCTTGTGTTTTGACCGACAAATATTAGCCAGTATGGAGGTCCATCTTCTCTATACCTCGGAATGTTTTCCAAGATATCCATAAACCAAGCATTTGGTGTTGAACTAAAGATTTTTATCATGAGTGCTTTCTTTGTTGCCTTAGAAACATAGGGGTCCTTGTTTGGATTCGTCATTTTTATCCTATAAGAAATGGGTTTATTTGGCGCATTAGCAGGAGTTGCATCCAGATTTTTACCCGCAGTGGGAACAATAGCCAGAGGTGTATTTGGAGTTGGAAGGAAGATTTTGAGTACATTAGGTATACTTAAAGAGAAAGCACAACCTATTATACAAACTGTACAGAAAGGTTGGGAGGTAGCACGAGATGCAGCAAATCTTATTCCAAATCCTGAAACAAGAGGAAAAGTTCAAGGATGGATGGACAATGTAGGAAGAGAAGCAGGAAACTACTATAACAAAGCAAATGACTACTATAACCAAGCAGGGCACTATATGGACCAAGGTGAAAGATTCTTTAACAGAGGATATAACCATGCACAACAATGGGTAAACAATAACCAACCTCAACCGCCTCAAACGGGGAATGTAAAGTTTTTTACTGAGATGAAATGAACAATACAGCATTGAGACAAATGGGTTCAAGATGGATTTGTCGACTTCCAGCAGTTACACAACCACGTGTTTGTCAAGTCCTCCCTATACCTCAGGAAGTTTTAGACCGACTTAAAAAACCTAAACAACCAGTTGAAAACAAACCAAACTAAATTTTTTTACTGAGATGAAATGACCGAAGAAGTTGAAACGGTAGATTTGACACCACAAACAAAAAGTTCAGAACCATTGTCAAAACCTGTCAAAGAACTTACAGATGAAGAGAAAAATTCAATAATAGAAAGTGCCAGGTCTGGAAATACAAACCCTAACTATAAAGTCACTTTTCATAGAAATGGAACGGCTAGTATCTCAAAAAAGAAACAGACTCTCACAAATAAAATATTGAAGTCTGAAGGAATTTTCGAGACAACAGATGGAAAAGTATATTTTACCGACCAACAGTTCATTATAGAACATCTCATTGACTTAGAGTCGAAATATTCTAAACTTTACAACAAACACAAAAAGTTGAAAGGAAAACAGAAACAGATGGCATATGATATTTATGAAGATGTTGACGACACAACTGTTCCTGCAAGTGAAGTAAAGTCAGAGGAACCGAAAAGTGACGAAAAACCAATAGAAGAAGAAAAACCAAAAACTGAAGATAAACCAAAACCAAAGGTTAGTTTTCAAACTAAACCAAGCCAACCTTCATTAGCTGGTATGGGTTGGCGTCAAAGACTTTTGGCAGCAGGTGGTTACGTAAAGTAAAGAAAAAACATTTTTTTATTTTTATAAAAATGCCCCCGTATAGAATGGATAGAAAATCTGCTAGAATAAAAGCAGAGTTAGAAAGATATGGTTGGAAAGTTTCGAAGAAGTTTAAATATAGGAAGGGAAGACCCATAAAAGTCTATGACAAACTGGCTGGTCTGACCTACGAGATGGATTTGGAAACAGCACGTGCAAATTATCCAAACAGACTAGAGAGGTTAGAAGAAGAACGTCTTATGGACATGCCTTTCGATGTTAGTGAGCCTCAAGTTGAAGGACACGACGGCTTTGCCAGATTCTACTGGAAACATGACGAACAATTGCATCCTTTGAGAAGGAAAAAAGGAAAAGGTGAAGATGCACATGCTCCCATGGAAAGAACAAGATATGCATATGAAAAGTACCGTGAAGTTAGAAGTCAAATTACATCTGGTCGAACCTTTACAGTAAACTTTGACGAAGGAAAGAACAAAGAAGGCTTTATGGGTGTACTTGCTGCCATACAAGACGGAAATAAGAAAGGATACAATCTCAGACTAACCGTAACAGATTTAGATGGTCATATTTACTATGCACATGGCAATGTCACAACAGCCGCACAACTTCTTGACGCTTTCAAGACTACAAAGAGAGAACAAATGTTTGACTCCGACTCAGACATTTTGAATGCAATTGAAGGAATTGTAAGTGTAAAGTTCGAATGGTACCAACATAACCCTCAAGCAGTCAGACAACATGCTGGATACTTCCCGTTCATAAACAAGTCTGACATTGACTTAACAAGGTATGGAATTTACAATTCAATTGAAACAATTGTCAATGAACCTTGTATTCTTACATGTCTCAGGAACTCTGGTCTTGTTTCAGATGAGAAGATGAAGTATCTTGAGTCATGTGTGAAGACAAGGTACATTCTCAGAGGTCAATTGGCAAAAATTGCACCGTTGGCAAATGTCAATATCCGAGTCAACATACCTACAGCTAAAGGTTCTTCACATGACGACTATGTTGTTGACAAAGACTTACCATGGTTGAAGATTGCAATTGTCCACAACCACTTCATGTTGAACGAAAGTCTTATGTTCGGAAAAGGCAAGTGCAACATTGTCAGAGCTGTAAACATTCTTTTCGAGAAAGGTTTGTTGGAACCAATTCCAGATGACAAGCTGACAGAAACTTTTGTACCAAAAGACGAAACAAACTTTTCACTGTTAGCAAGACCAAAAGTTGTTCCAGACAAAGTTATAGCACAAAAGAAGTACACAATTCCAAAAGGAGTTGGTATGTTCGGATACCAACCTGAACCAGAAGAACTTCCAATGAGGTTGCAAGAACTTCAAGATGCTATAAACAAACTTCCATTGAGACATCCAATTGACGTCAAATTGTATTGGAGAGCATCTGAGTTAGGTCAGAAGGTTTTATATGAAACAGGTTGCTTCGACGATGTCTATGAGATAACAGGAGAAGTTTCTCAAAAGATAAGAGACTCACTTGAATTTCCACGAACTGGACCCATTGGTTGCGACAAGTTCGACTCAGATGAAAAGATATACTATGTCGACCTTAACGCTGCGTACATGAGGTTCGTCCAATATATTCCAACTGGAATTCCAAACGAAGATGGTGAGTTCCCAGGAAGGAACTATACAGTTGGAAAAGTCATACAACAACTGTATGATATTAGGAAAGCTTCAAACCCCAAACTTGCAATGACACTCAAATTGCTTATGAATTCGACATGGGGATATTCCATTAAGAAACCTCAAGAGATGAAGAGTAAACATTATGAGAAGGTCGACAACTTTGTTGAAAGGTTTTCTCCTTTTGTTTTGAAGTACGAATTCACTCAAGGTCAAAGTGGCTTAGTAACCACATTAAAACCTATTGTCGAACATTGGTCTTACCCTCAGTTCGCAAAGGCAGTCCTCGACAACTACAACAAATTCTTCTCCGAAGTTAAATCCAAAGTGAAGGTATACTATGAGAACATTGACGCACTCATGACGAACGAAGAAGGGTATAACAAACTCATTGAAATGGGTTTAGTCGGTGAGAAGATGGGTCAATTCAAATTGGACAAAATTTTCACCGAAGTTCATGTCCTCTCCAAACGTAAGTACTGGGGTATACTTGAAGACGGCACAGAAATAAAACATTGCATGAAATAAAAAATTATTTTTAAAACAGTATATTTTTACATATATTAAATGTTTCAGGTTGAAAAACAAAGAACAAAAGTAGCAGATACAAAACCGTTAGACTATATCTTCACAAATGCCGGTAGGACTATATCAGATGAAGAAATTTCATCCGGAGCTTACAGGTTTGACTTTCCAATTCGTTGGCTTCAAAGTCCTTCAGATGCAAAGGCAATAGGATTTAGAAGAGTTTTGTTTTCAAAAAGAACTAACGCATTTATGTTTGCAGTATATTTTCATGGTCAGTATAGAGGTTCTGATGGTCTAATAGACAAATTTGATGAAATGAGAATCTTTACAATTCGTTCAGACGAAAACCTTGAGAAGACTCTAAATGACTTTCAAACTCAAATAAACAAATACTACTGGGAATTTCAAGAAAAATACGATTCTTTACTAAATGGAACATACTATCTGAAGCTAGAATATGACAAGATGAACTCCACAGTTTCATTTCAAAGGATTGAAAATAACCCTCCAAGAGATACACAGTTTTTATTTTGGGAAGTAGACAAACGTTCTTGGGCACAATTTCTTCGGTTACTAAACCAGAACGAACCATTACCACCTGACGGTCCGTTTAAATTTATACGCCCACCAACAGATTTGACAGTTTATAGAAACGTGTTTGACCCTCAAAATGTTATGTGTCATGCAAGTTTCAGTTCAAGCAACAACAGTTTTCTTTGTATCGGTAAGGACTTTTATGACTTTGCTTCTAAATTCTACGAACCACCTAGTAACAGTTTCTCTGACTTTCAAGTTTGGTTCACAACAAATGGTGTGCAGCATATTATACCATTGTACTATGACTTTTATCTCGAATTGTCTTTCATATACAACTACGGAAAAGTGCTGAAAAAGTATTGAAAAATGAGTTTTGGTTGAAAAAAGAGGTGAGCCAAAAGTGGCTCGACCTCAAAACAAGCATTTTGTGAAGAATATACCAACCGCCGGAATTCCGGCGGTTGCTTTTTATACAAAGTTCAACAGGTGAATTTTCATGAATTTCCTTAAGATAGACAAAAATATATTTTAGGTGTCACCAGGTCCCTCGGTCAACTAACATCTTTTTGAAAATGGTGACAACATGACATTTTGACAACAACACAGGAAATAGATTTCATCGTTGTGGTCCGACGGTTAAGCCACAAACGAAT